AAGCAGACTCCCCGCAGGGTGTGGAGTCTGACGTGGGGCTTGACCCCAGGAACTCGAGATCAAGAGCTGAGCTGAAACCAAGTCAGATGCTTAACCAGACTGAGCCACCCAGGCGCCCCACCTTCTCTTTTAAAAAATATTTCCTTCAAGTTGAGTAATAAAGTTAAAAACTTCCTCTTTCCCTACTCGGCCTTTAGTCTCAGTAGCAGCTCCTGAGCAGGTAATTCAGCTGATCCTTACTGTTCATTCCCTCATGTCCTGGGCTGTTCCATTCTTTTCTTTGGCACCAAGAAGAAGACCTTGGCAGAATACAAACAGTAGAGCTGAGCTCCTGCTGCTGGTTACTGAGTAACTCAAAGCTTAACTCTTCGTGGAAATTTGGCAAGATATCTGGCACAAAAACCAGAGCCATCTCCAGCTCTCCCGGGCTTCTAATTTACCAGGTAGTTACGTTATTTTAATTGAGGTGAAATAAAGTTTATCAAAATAATCCCTCATTATTACTTGGCAGCTTTTAAGTAAGATTCTCAAAGTATCTCACTGGAATTTGTTCAAATTCTCACACAGGTTAGAAAGTCCAGCTTTTAGTTTCAGGGACACCAAATCAAAGCCACAAATATTTATTGAACATGCCCAGTGCACATGCCACTGGGCTTTCCACGTACCAGGTACTCAATAAATATTTGTGTTTGAAGAAACCCAGCTTCGGAGTAGTTTTGCCGACTTGTTAACAGAAAAATACTTTAAATTCCTCCTAAATGGAAAGTTGAGAGTATTAAAAATGCTTACTTGTCCAGAGGGACTGACACCTTGTATGAACAGAAGTACTGGACGAGGGTATTCTCGGGAGGTTGAGCAGGAGAACGTTGCATGGAGTCAAAGCTTGTTTTCCTACTTTAGTCCAGGAAGCTGTAGGTGGTGAAAGAGACATCAAGAAGGGGAGAAGACAGCAGAGGCAGAGGCACGGGGGGAGAGTTATCTGGAGAAAGAGGGGATGGCTTGGACAAATCCAGAAGCAACAGGAAACAACTAGTGAAGCCAAGGCCGAGGGTGTGTGTGGTGAGTACGGATTAACCACGTGACTGGTGTCTCTCACCCACCGCTGCCAAAGTAGGGCTGCTTTAGCAAATCTGTCCAAATCCATTTGAGGGGGGAGGTGGAAAGGAGGATCTAGGAATGAATGTGGCCTGGTAGCTTTTATCCCATCAGGACACAGGGTTGGTTTCGGACCCTTTCCAGATGGTCAGCGCTGAAAACCAACAGACGCTCCTTGGGAATAGGTTGTTCCAACTTTGAACAGAAATGAGCTTCAGTTATCACATTTTGTTCGCTTACCGCAGTTCAGCTAAGCAGGGAATGGTGCTGAAGGCAAAACCCTCAAGCTGCTAAGTGAGAGAAATGGGCCGGCCCACTCTGCAGAGGCAGCCTGGGTCTTGCCCGAGGTCCAGGATTCCTAGGTTGGGTCGGTTTCCCTAGCTTGCCAGGATAACAAAAGGCCCAATCAGTTAGACGAGGACCGGCTTAGGGACCGAGGAAAATCAGAGGGCCCCGTAATTTAGATCGTAATAGCCTCAACTTTTTAGACTTGAGAGGATTAAGAAGATAAGCTGAGGCGACTGTAGGTTTTCCTTGAAACAGTATTTTCAAGAGCTTCGATATTGCAAAGGTCATTTTTTCCCTTTAACCTGATGATTTAGGAACAGACCTAGGGCTTGGTGAAGGGAACCATGAGAAGCAGCTGACTTTGGTGGCACCGTTAGTAATGCCAATCATGCTTGTACTGTTTGTTGTCAAGTGGTGGCTCCACTACACACGATCTTGGACGTTCTTCCCTCCTCTTCATTCCCACTATGCTGCTGGCCAGCCCTCATTGCTTGGAAGTCTACTGCAACAGACTCATAACTGGGTTTTCCGCCTCAGACCCTATTCTACTGCAAATTACGATAATCACATCTCACTCTGGCTTAAAATCTTTACTGATTTTAACGGCTAAAAGATAAAATTTAAACTCAGAACTGTACACAAAGCTTTCCAAGGCCCGGCCTCCAAACTTTTCTAGCTATCCCCAACTCCTTCTTTTCTCTGAGTGGAAACAAGGTTGGAAGAAACAGGGGTCCTCTGTGCTCTGCTGTTAGGGGTAGGTTTGAGGGGCCACAGAGAGGAAAGAATATAGCATTCAGCCACCTCTTTTTTTAATTATTTATTGGTTTAAAATTTATTTGAGAGAGAGAGAGAGGGTGTGCACGCAAATTGGGGGGGTGGTGTGGAGGGAGAGGGAGAGAAGCAGACTCCCCGCAGGGTGTGGAGTCTGACGTGGGGCTCGACCCCAGGAACTCAAGATCAAGAGCTGAGCTGAAACCAAGTCAGATGCTTAACCAGACTGAGCCACCCAGGCGCCCCACCTTCTCTTTTAAAAAATATTTCCTTCAAGTTGAGTAATAAAGTTAAAAACTTCCTCTTTCCCTACTCGGCCTTTAGTCTCAGTAGCAGCTCCTGAGCAGGTAATTCAGCTGATCCTTACTGTTCATTCCCTCATGTCCTGGGCTGTTCCATTCTTTCATGACTATGTATGCGCTCCTAGGCTTGGAGTGTCTACTCTCCACCCTGATCATCTTATAAACCCTTTCATACCTTTATGAATCAACTCTTCAGAAGTAAAAACCTCCCTGAATCACCTTGCTTCCCCAGGTCTATGCATTTTCCTTGAAGTAGTCTCCAGGTAATGCTAATTGTGTCTTACATCTCATTCAATTCACAAAAGTCTGATGATGGCAGAAAATGGATCTTTCTGTTTCTCAAATTGCTTTACTACTCACAAGTGTGGCCTTCGGACAAACAGGACGGGCATCAGCTGGGAGCAGGTTAGATAATCCCAGGCCCCCCTCCAGACGGGCTGCAACAGTAATGACACTTTAACAAGAGCACCAGGTGAGCACCAGAAGCTCTCCAGTAAATGTGAATAAAGAGGCACCAATCAGATCCCTTCACTGCCGGCTTGCAACCTTTCCTTGGATTCCCTTTCCTTTCGGAATAAAATCCAAATCCTTTAGCATCAGCAGGCCTCTGTGGTCCAGCTCTGCCTCATCTCTTGCCACGGTCTCATTCCCTCTACTCTTGCCTGAATCGCTGTTTCTGTAACAGAGATTCTTCTTTCCCAAGAATCGTATTTCATAGAAACATATTGTTTTCTCTGACTAGCAGTCTCATCTCCAACGTTACCTGCCACCCTGTCCATTCTTCAAGTGCCACCTTCGCTGCAACTTCCTCAGGAAAGCTATTGCTGCTCAGCCAAGCAAGGTTAAGTCTTCTTTGTGTACATTCTCACAGCTCCTGGCTCATCTCTTTTGAAGACAATTGTGGCTGAATAATTTTTTGGCAATTCTATTGTGTTTTGTTGATGATTGTTATCTATTTTTTTTAACTTTTTTTTTAAGATTTTGAGAGACAGAGACAGAGATAGCGAGACAGCACGAGTGGGGTGGGAGAGGGAGAAGCAGGCTCCCTGATGAGCAGGGAGCCCGGTGAGGGGCTTGATCCCAGGACCCCACGGCCCCGTCCTGAGCCGAGGGTAGACACCCAACCGACTGAGCCACCCAGGTGCCCGTTACCTATTTTAAAACTGTATTCATGTCAATTTCCACAACTGGAGCCTAAGCTCCTTGAAGGTAAAGACCGTATTCTCTTTATCTTCTACAGTGTGGTACATATGATTAAGGACTCAATAAATCAGTAAATACCAAAGTGGGTGTTCAGTGAGTAGTTGAAAGCTCACTTTTGATTTGCAAGGTGTCCCAAATAAGGGTGGCAGCCATTAACTAAATAGGCCACCATGTTGGAAAGTGGAGGGGATTTATTAGTTGATCATTGCAGATTAGCTGGTTACAGGGGATGAAATGCTAATATATACAAAAAACAAACTCACATTAACCTATGTGAGTCTGAGTGTAAAGGTCAGAAAATACCCTACTGCTTGTGAGCAGGGTAGGCCTAGGATGGTGGTAAAGATGGCACGCTGGTTTTGGAATCCCCACTCTAGACTTTCTAACATTCAAGGGTTGTTGCAGTAGTTACCATCCTTCAGACCCTCTGACCTTTTTTTACTCTGGTTCCTTCCCTTGAGGTCAGGTAGGGTACCAAAGACACCTAATTGCTAATTGTTGGTAGGAGGTAAAAATAACCTTCAGTTTATGTGCATTACTTTTCTGTAAAAATAAAGGATGCCAGTCATTGTCAGCTCTATGTCTCTTAAAAATATAGACATTTACTTATGTAAACTGTATGTTTATGTATGTTGCTATTATCACACTGAACAAAAAGGTCATTCCTTGGTCTTACCTAGTACCCAATTTCCCTAATTATTTCAAAAATGTCTTTGCACATTTGATTCACTGGAATCAGGATCCAAATAAACTCCACATGTTGCATTTGGTTTTATTTTTTCTCTTAACTTTCTTCTGAATCTAGAGTAGTCCCTTCCTCTCCCCTTTTTTCTTCTTCATGCCACTGAACTGCTGACTAAGGCATATTTTATACCAGTCTCTAAGAGAAAAATCAACCTACACTTACCCTCTAACTACAAGGAATGACTAATGGGTGGAGATTTCAGGACAATGAGCAGTCAGTAAGAATGGAAAGACAAAAAATAGGTACCCAGGAAGTCCATGTTGCTTAAACATAAAGAAGGTCCTGATTTAAGAGAAGCCATAAGAACCAGAAATCTGGATGTTTGCCATGGAGTCTCACTGAACAGACTGTAGGATCTCAGAACCACTACCTTTACTGTGCAATTGCTGTAGAACATATGAAGGAATTTGGACTGTAGTGTATTTAAAGTTGGAGTAATTCCTATGATATCTCTACAAAATTGGCTACTGCAAGTATGTGTCTACTTGTGCATAAGTATCTAATTCTCTATTTTTCACACTAAAAAAAGGAAAGGTGTAATAATCCCAAGGTTAGAGTAAAATGGCACACACTCATTTATAAAAAAAGACTACACGTTTCTCCTCATTAATTTATCATTTAATATAAATGCTGACAGAAAGCAGATAAAGACCAGATATTTACAAACCAAAAGGTGAATCACCTCCTTCTACTTGTTAAAATAACCCTTTTATCTGCAACTCTTGGGAGCTTTAAACACTAGTTAGGAGCAACATGAGGCTGAGTCAGTTTCCAAGGTAATAAAGAAAGGAAATAGGATTTTAACAAAATGTGGCATCTTTGATATAAACAACATGCACACAAATAATACAAAATTGAAAAAGATGGCGTTAATCCTTTTAAAAACCTGACAAGTATAACATGTACTTATTCAGACCCAGAATTCTGCTGCCCTAAACATCTTCCTATTACTCTTTATTTCCACCTCACTTGTTTTGAAGGCTGTTTAAAAATTGGATATACAAACACATTAAAAAAAGAAGAAAATGGTCCATTTCAAACAGGGTTCTTTTTCCTATTCCAAAAGAACTTTCAAGAGATAAAGTCTTCAAATAAGATTTCACAGTTTGCCAGAATCTAAAGAATTATTCACAGTTTGTGAAATTTCAACCCATTTGTCTTCATTCAAAAAAAAAAGTTGAAAACACTTGGAAAAAGTATAATTTCACAAACTTTAGCAATTTAAAAATCAGCTGTCATTTAAGACTCAATATTTTTATTTCTGAACAGGTGGGTGGAGACAGGCAAGAAAAAACAGGGAGCTGAGGCAAGGAAAAAAATAGGAATGCAAGAGAACTTTTTAAAAATGGTATTTTATCTAGCACTGATTTGTAAGAATAGGAGATATAAATTCTCACTATCCAAAACTAAGTGATTTCATGAAGTAATTTATAACCTGACTCAAATCTCATGGGCTCCTTTATTAACCTAAATTATTTTTGTCTTGTTAAATATACCTCTGCAGGGCACAATCACATACAATCAATACGATTGGTAAATTACACAAGCTCTATCCCAAGCAAATATGCATCAATGTTAAAAAGTTTTTTTAAAAAAAACAAAAAACAAAAAAACCCAAAATAAAACAAAATAAAATCCACCCAAAAAGGTGATAATGACTGCAGAATGTCTCGGGGAGACTGGTATAAGCCTAAAGACCAAATTGACCATAGTCAGGGGAAAAGGGTAGCAGGGGTAACAAGGGAAGAGACCACACACAAAGAGGAATCTCACAACTGGAAAATGCTTCAGTGGGTAAAAGATTTTGTTCATCATCTTAATTCACTTTTTCCATTGCTCTTGTTCCAAAAAGTTATAGTAACATCATAAAGTAAGACAACAAGGCCTCTGGATCAGTGAATAAAATGGGAAAAAAAAAAATCCCCCTCAAGTTCCTTTCATTTCCAGGAGGTGAGAAGAGAAAGGATGAAGGGGGCTGGGATGTGGGGTGTGGTAATGAAAATGTGGGCAACAATACACCTGGAAAAAGTAGCTCTCAGGACAGTGCCTTCGTTGAACAGAGGATGTAAAAATGATAAACAAAAGCTTAAAATACCTTTAAATCAGAGGAATATTTTACAGGGTTGTTTAGATATTATGGTAAGAATGGCAGCCAATCAATGATTACACTATAAATGGTGATTAAAAAAAAAAAAACAGGCAACCCACCCCCACACCCCCAAACCAAAACCCAACAACAAGCAGGCAACCAATTATCCAGTAGTTTCTTTCTATCCTTTTCTTGACCCTTTTATGCACTGGCTGGGGTGGGGGGTAGGGGCTGTCTGACAGTTTCCAGTTACAAGATGACTCTGAGTGTACAACCTAAAATGGATGCCAAAGACTTGTGAGCTCTGTCTACTCAAGAGTTAAAAACAACAAAACAAAACAAAACAAAAACAACCAGAAACAGAGAGACCTCAGTACAAGAAAATAAGTCACCTTATCTAGTATATAATATACTAATTCCACAGGATTTGACTTTCCTAAATACACACTTTTGGACACAATATTATCTTGAGGCTTAACTTCTCTCTCTTGGGTTATTGTGCCTTATTTTCTTGTGAAAATAAAGGTTATTACTCTAGGGATGTTCTGTTCAGGAATAAAATTTAAAGTAAATTCAGTGTTTGGCTGAAAATTCAGAGGCTCTGAAAACAAGGATTCCAGTGGTGAGGTTAAGTCCCTTTATCACAATAGGATTTCAAAGGGCTCTTCCCACTTTGTTCAGTGCAGTATTGAAAACCCACCTATTGGGAACACATTTATTATTAAAAGGTGTTACTTTTTCCTGGTGGTGGCAGTGTCCTATTATTTATTAACATCATAGTAGTATTACTTTTCAATTAGAATCTGTTATATATGAAAACATCTTTACCAGTCAAAGCAATAAAACCTTAAAAACCAAATCTTAAGTTGGTATTTACTATAATTAACAGTACCTTTTCACAAAAACAGCTTTCTTTTTCAAATGGCTCAGAAAAGTTGAATTAAGAATTTAATAAAATATTAACTGCAATCCACCTACAACTCCCAATAAGTCCTTTCAGCAGGAAAATTTCATAAAGCTGAGCTGAAGCAACAAATAAATATAAAAGTCATAGCTGTCCAAGGTAGAAAGGTATGAATGAGGACCAGCAAAATGAGTAAAATGATGACAGCAGTAAACTGTTTGCTTGTTCAGTCCCTAATGTTGAAAGTGAAATCTGCTTTAGTTTAATTGCTCTATTTTTTTTCTAAAAGGACAGGCTGATTTTTCAGGGAAGAGATCATCTTGCAACACTATCACCAGGTATCACCAACTAAAAAATAAACACAATCAGGCTCTTTTAGGGGACAAATCTAAGTAAACGCTGCAGTTAATTTCCAGGCAGGTTATTAATTTTTCCTCAAAAGTAACTGGGTCTTTCCTTTTAATAAAATATGTATCATTACAGGTGCTTTTTACAGGTAGATTTTATATTACAAAACCTTTACTCAATTCTTTAAAATGAGCAAAAACAAAGTGGAAAAAAGATGGTAAGACCTCCACCCATCACCATGTGTATTTAAAAGCAATCAAATACTTTTTAGTGAAAAGAATCTGTTTTTCTCCAAATCTGAATATAATCTTACATGCAGTGACTATAGTTTATTTCTCACCAGTCACATGCTCATGAATTCTTTTACCCAGTCTCATAGCTTGACCATAGTGATATAGATTGTCCTTCCGACACAAGTTAAAAACCAAAACACACAAGATGCTATCATTGACAAGATAATCTTAAAAAACGGGGGTACTGCTTACACACAATGTTGTAAAAGATGACATTCACTGGTTTAGAGAAACTGGTGAATTTTCATTACTTTTACATTTTATAAGGCCAGCTACTGTTAACAGTTAACCTCAGATAAATCTACTTACACAATACAATCAACTCACAAATACTAAAAGGTTTCACAATCAAAATGGCTATTTCCCCCAAAACCAAAACAGAGTAAAGCACAAGTCTTTGGCTCTCCTTTAAAGAAAACAGCAGGTTACCATTCTTAACCAGACCTTTGTTTGCCTACCAGTAGGGCAAATACCACATTTGTGCATCACTGAGTAATAACACCATTAGAAAAGGCAACTTCACAGAAGTTATTGGCTAAGCGAATTCATTTGAATGCTCTGTTTTGAGGCAGCAAACTGTCACTGTTGCAGATTGGGGAGGGCAGTAGGTAAGTCAAGGGGAATTTGCAAGATAGAAAAGGGCCAGGAAAAAAAACTTTGAGCTTTAACCCTGAAGACCTATGGAAAGTCTGATGGAGTTACATATTCATGGTAACAAATAAGAATCATACCAACTTTATGTCTTTTAGGCAAAAGAATAAATACACAGGAAAGTCTAGGAGAAGGGAAGGGAAATAAGATGAGAGAAGGGAATCAGCCACATTAATGCAATACCAAATAATTTTTTATATATTCTGAGTATTTGGATATTTGTAGCTGGCATTAGAAATAAGTGTCTTATCACGTGAATACTATTACTAGAAACCTATGCTATAACTAACTGTTCTTTTGATTACAAAAGTAAAAAGGAATGGATCTTTGGTCACTTTAGCTTCTGTAAATCACCCAAGACAGGACAGCTATTGGACTTATCTTGTGACAGTATCTATAAGGCAAAAGAACCATGTATGTTAGGAAACTGCGTGTAGATATCTTATTCTCAGTTCTTCTACTCCTTTCCAGAGATACCTTGGAAAAAGTAAGTCAAAGTACTTTTATATTCCTAACTATAATAAGATTCTGGTTTTGTTATCTAAACAAGAGTGAACATAATGCTTATTATACTCCTACCTTAACCCTCTCAGAATTGCTCATGTTCATCTGTGATGTCAGTCTTGCTTCTGAATTCAGTGAAAAGCAAATAAAGTCATCTCCAGAAGAAATTAGTATTTTACTTACTAAGTAGAAAGCATAAAAACTGTTATTTCCTATCTGACTGATTTCATCTCTTAACTGTTAAGTCTCTAAAGGCATACATTTTAAAAGCCAAAAAAAAAAAAAATCAATGCCTTTCACAGGTTTTGACCAAAAAAAGCTGCTGAATAGTCAAGCAGTTAAAAAAAAAAAAGTCAAGCAGTTTTGCCCAAAAAGGTCACTTACCCTTATTGTTTCATCATTTCACAAAGTGTATCACAGAGAAAAGGGGGGAAAAAAATCCAAACTTTGGAGGTTTTAATTCCTAAAACTGCTTATGTCTACTAGGAAAGTTATAAGAATTTCCATGAGATAAGGCAGAATGACTAATTTAAAATAGGTAAGTTATAGGCACAATGGGATAGGATATCATTCTTCTGCCTTTCTACCCAACCAGAGTTCCTCTAGAGTGTGTGGGGCCTTACTGAGGTACAGCTAGAATTAAGGCTACAATGTAAGAGATCTGTCCCCACCCCGATCCCCGATGAAATTAACTTAAAAAGTGAAAGGGATTATTTTAAGTCAATTCAAAACAGTGGTTTTTCTGGTTTTATTCAGAATAGGAATACTATATGAGTTAACAACTATTCCTGCCTAGCTTACAAAATCAAAATGGTGAAAGCAAGGAGTGTATCTGGAGGATATAAAAACAAGAATAACAGAAGTTGACTTATTAGATGTTTCAATGGATATCCAAAATAGAATTTTACTTTTATTCTGAACTTCAACAAAATACCCATAAATTCCCTTCTAATACCAGAATCATTCTGAGTTCCAAATTGAACCAACTGCTTCTAAAATTTAGGAATTATCTAATATGTCCAAAGGAGAAATAAGATCTGCCCAAATCTGCCTACAGAAGGTTGGAGGCCAAGAATGTTGCCTTTTATAGTTATACAAAAAAATAAAAAATCTTGGGACTCTGTCAGACATACCAAGTTTCTCTCCTTCTCCCAAAAAACAATAAGCACTTACATATAAGAGGGTTTTAAGGAAAAAAGAAAACAAACAAAAAAGCAAAAAAAGCAAGTGTGTATTTTTAAGAAAGGAAAATATGGTATCAACTGAAAAAATGCCTCATCTTCATTCAGTGCTTCTACCTCCCAATCAGTCATTTTATCGCAACAGCTGCGCTCATGCGAAAAAATCCTTAAAACATATCCAATATATATACAGATATAGCTATGTATATATGTATATATATAATATATATAAATTTTTATTTAAATAAAAAAGAAAGCTCGAATCCCAAGCCAATATGTGTATATCAAATCCTTGACCAGCCAGGTCTGTAGGGCATAATCAAATTCAATGTGAAATAGTATATAAACATGGTGCCTTGACTGGGCAAATTAAATAATCGCTACTCAAAAGAGTGTTCTGTTTGGACTCTCCTACTGGTAGGCAATGGCAGGACTGTATTTCCCTCCCCCCTCCCCCCATTTGTTTCAGTTAACAGTACGATGGACACAGAGCTTACACTGAGGTTGTTATGACCTCAGCAGGAGTTAAGGGTTAAGAAAATAAGAAACAAGAAAAATACAAACTCTTGCTTTTACCCAACCAAAGCAATGCAGTAACTTATTACATAACCAGTGCTTTCTGTTTTAGTAGTATAATCCAGAAAGGAAAATTTCTTAAAAATCAGGCAAAAAGAGGGATGGGAAGGTGACTATATCAAATAATCCCACAAAAACGTTTTATAAGGTCTTAGTTCAGTATAGACACATGGCATCAGAATATGTGCAGCAGAAATAAATTTAAAAAAATTCCTTATTCTTTTCAACATTTTCATGAAGCATCTCTTCACTATTGTAAAGTCAAGTCTATGAAAACTGACTTTTAGGTACTTACTACCTACTGGTGCCAATGATTCTGAACAACAACTAGTCAATTCATAAAGTATCCTTAAGATCTGGGCAGTCTGTATTTGCCAAATCTATTTGAAAGCCAGGGGCTTTCATTTTATTTTATACTTTTGGGTTTTGACAGTACAACAAAACAAAAACATCCACTGAAATAATATGACTGTTCATTTTCACTTCAAGTGTTGCAGTTTTAAAACATGGTTGATTTTCCTGTGTTTTTTTTAATACATTTTATGATTTTAGCAAGTTTAATTTGAAAAAGCACAGCTCCAAATTTCCAACCATCAGCTCAATACAGGTAATATACCAACCACGTATTTTCAGTACTAATAAATTACAGTTCATTCTTAAAATGATCTCCATTTAAATATCTAATCAAACAGCCTACAGTATTGGTCTCGCTTTCTGATTACATTAAGAGAATGAAATGGATCCATAATATGGAAATGAGGACTTCAAAAATTAATTGGTAATTATCTCTCTGAAAAAGCTGAAATAAAAACAAAAACAAGAAACAAATCCCTCCTGAACAACAAAAAGTTTTAGTGCTATATGAAAAACATACACATGAAGCCAGTTACCAGAAAGGGAAAGAAAATTATGACTTTCAAGTAATAGCTCTTAGAAAAGCTGGTTTGCTGCACATTTTCTAATAACTAGTCTACTACTGTCTTTTTGTTTCTCAAGCACCACAGAATTCTCAAGACAGTGTGGTGCTTTCTATCTGTTTTAATTTATGGGGTTTGTGAAAGTTGGAAAGGATTGGGGGAAAGGAATTATACACTGGGTATGTAATAATACCAAAATACAAGAAAAACCTACTTCATTAAGATCATACAATTAATCAAACAGAGTGTATATATAATATCTTCTTTTTTTTTTAAAGCCCTGGATCCAAGGCGTCCAAAGTTATTAAAATAAAGTTCATTCACAGAACAAAAACAAATTTAATCTGAATTGCTTGCAGATACTGCTAATTTTCTTTTTCTTTTTCCTTTTTTTTAAATTAAAAAATGCATTAATGTGAACTATGTGCAGGGTTTGTTTTTAGTAGTGGTGTTTGTGCACATTGCCTCCGGTACTTTTCCTGGATTTCTCTGACCACTCTCAGAGAAAAAGTTTAGAAGTTATCTGTTCTCCTACCCCTATGCCCCACAAATTGATCAGGAGCAAAAGATAAAAGTTGGACTCTTCATAATTTAGGGAGCAGAAGTGGGTGTGACTCCCGCTCTCTGGGAGTCATTGTTGTCACCTCCTCCCTCGGGGTCCTCTGACAGGTTCAGAGAGCTGGTCTTGTTTGACAGGAGGCTGATATTTTCTTGTGTCAACGCTGAGCCATTTGGTACATCACTGTTAACATTTAAAAAAAAGTTGGAATTTTAAATAAGAGAGAGAGAAAAATGATTTGTAGAATAAAATCAATAGGGCTTCTTTTGTGAGTATGGAAAAATATGCAAGTAGCTTTTAAACTTTAATTTACAGCTTGATGTCCATGCTTTAAGCACAGGGGTTGGCAAACTAAGGCTAAGCAATGCCTGTTTTTATAAGTATAGTTTTACTGAAACACAGCTTGCCCATTTGTTTATGTATTGCCTATGGCTGCTTTCACACTGAGAGTTTCCACAGAGATGGTAAGACCCATAATTTTAAATACTTACCATCTGGACTTTAAGAAGTTCCGACCCCTGCTTTAGCAGGCTTACTAGTACAAGAAATTACTTTGAACCCAGGACAGTGTATGGATATAAATAGCTAAAACCTAAGCCTGAAAGCAACAGGGCATTAGAAATTATTGTTATACAATCATCAGGAGGGTAACTCAGGACTATGCAGCAAATGACTTCAAAATACCGTAAGAAAATAATTACAGCTGTGCAAATAAAGAATTATTACAAATCTGTTTATTGTATGGTTGTTCAATGATAGCTGACATGTATCCTTCCACCTCTAGATGATACGGTATAGACCAAATTAAAAACCAAGGGGATGAGGTGGAAGGTGGATTTGAAAGAGGTTAAATATCCACACACTTTAAAGGACTGGCAAGGTCTACACCAAAATGTTAACACTGGTTTTAAACAAACTAAAAAACGGGAAAGAAGAAATGGAGCCAGAAAAATTCATTTGTTACAGACAATTCAATCTTGAATCTGTTCTAAAATAAGTTTTATTAACTAAATTTATGTGAAAATACTCTTTTCTCAATGTATATAGAATGATATTTTTAAAAACAAACCATATTTATGAGGGCACTTCTGTCAGGATTGGATAATATAAGACAATGACAACGTCTCTTCCTTTACCTGAATGTCAATGTAAGGTCCTCAGCTGGAACCTTATTTTGTGGTTCTGGTTGTCCGTTTTCGGCTTGCTTACTTGTATTCAATTTGCTTTTCATGTCCAGAGAACACTGGTTCTCCTTTGAAAGAGAAGGAAGTAAATTCAGTTATTTTCTATTTAATGGTGCTAATGAAAGACCAAATACAGATAATACAAATTGATAATTCATAAATCATATATAGTTTTATAAAATGACCAAAGAAATGGGCAGCCTAAAAGGGAGACATACACGATAATAATAACAGAGTACACTTGCTCACTATCCAAGCTAGAAAACAAGGGGGAGAATGCCCCAAGTTAGAAAAACTGATGACTTAGAAAGGCTAAGCCAAAATATAACTACGTATAATATACTTATTGAAAGCAGAAAAATGAAATACCCCATTTATTTGCTTAGAAAGAACGTGAAAACTATTCAACAAGAGTCAATTACCATGCAACCTGGTGGAATGGTTCAAATCCCCCAAAATCCACAATTTACTAAAACCAGTATTCATGTACTATGAAGCAAACCCTAAGCATATCCATGGATATGATTCCTCAGGAAGGAATGTATAGATTGCATTTCACTCATAACAAAAAACAGGTCTTCAATAACTGAAGGGCTATAAAAACTAGAATGCTATTTGTGAACACATTTGCAAAATCATAAACACCATCCCCTCAGCTTCCCTAATCAGTATATTAAACAGTAATTTAATAATGTCCAATTAACTGCCTTGTTTTCCCTGAAAGTTTTTCATAATGCAGAATCCTAAGACAGAGAACACACTCAAACCAAAAAGGAATGAGAAGAGGAATGAATAAAATAGGGAAAGAGCCCATTTTCATGAGACTTATTCTAAGTATTAACCACTCATTGGAGTGCCTTGGGGTGATGATTCTGGAGCTCTAGAGCCATGAGTTCTGGGACATCACTGCACAGCTTTCCTTTCACCTCTCCCAGCTCCCACCCTTTCCCACCAGAACACTCACCATACTCAGTTCCCGGGTTCTCTTCCCGATTTCCCTTTCCACCTGGTGCAGTTCCAAGCTCAACTGCTCACTTGAAATCATTCCAGGCCATTTTGGAGGTGGTGGTGGGGGTTGTGACTGGCCTGCCAGGGTGTTCACCTCCCTCTGCAACACCAGCCTGTTACTAACAGCCTAGTGCATAAAGCCAAGCACATATACAACTCAACACATTTCACACCATGCACATGACCAGGCCCAATTTCAGATCACCGCCTCAAGTAGTTTATCGTGAAGATATTTGCAATAAAAATGACACTATTAGGCACTGTCTCTTTGAATGCCATTTGAATTAAAAAAAGAAAAACTAGGGGATTTAAACTTAGTAAACAGTAATTTAATCTTACGGATAAGTTGCTCTTACTGTATTTGAAAGAGAAGTCAAGTATAAATGCACGTCTTTTCCCCTCTTTTTTAAATTTAATTTTCTGAAGTAAATCCTCCAATTTATTTCAATGAAACCTCAGTAATGGCAAGAACTTTTAACCACACTGAGTCAAATATGTGGCAAACTTCCAAATGATGCTGATTATTCTTTTAGAACAGAAAATGGGTCTGCAAATTTCAACTAAGACAAAAGGCCATGAATTAGTAGGTTAAGGAATAATACTTGGAATTAATGGTCTGAATCTTGAAAAAGTTAATCAACTAAAGAAGGACATAATCAGACATACCATTTTTTTTTTACAATAAGAATCAGCAAGAAGTTCTAGACCAATGTAAATAAAATAATGGCACAAGACAAAATATGAGTATTACATAGTTAAAATTCTAAGCCTTATTGCTTACATAAGAGCACAAGTCAGATATGTGTTCCAAAAAAACAATCTCCTATTGGCCTTTGTAATATGGGAATCTTAAGACAGAATTAGCTAAAAATTTATTTCCAAAGGGAAGCCTTCCTTATCAAAGATCTTGGTAGAAAGATAATGACTGCTGTTCTGATAGTTATCTTTTCTCCAGGAGGGAGCCATGTATTTATCAGTAGAATGTCTTGAGTTTTCTAAATTCAAAGAATACGCTCCCATGTAAAGGGTAATGTAAACAAAACCTAGTCTTCTTTATGTGGCACTTTGAAGGATTTTAAAAATTCTTTGTTTTCAGGGGCACCTGGGTGACTCAGTCGGTTGGGCGCCTGCCTTTGGCTCAGGTCATGATCACAGGGTTCCTGGATCAAGCCCCGCACTGGGCTCCCTGCTCAGCGGGGAGTCTGCTTCTCCCTCTGCCCTCCCCCCACTTGTGCTGTCTCTTTCTCTCAAATAAATAAATAAAATCTTTTAAAAAAATTTTTGATTTTAGATATTTTTTCTCTTTAAGTGTCAGGCAGCATGGTGAAAAGAACACTGAATTTGGAGTAGGAAGACCTGGGTTTGTATTTCAACTTCTGTGAAACTCCTATCCTTTAACCAGGACACAGGGACTATACAACTTGCCTAACCTACCTGACAGGGTCATTGTAAGGGTCAATCAGGACCTGCGATGGTAACTTACAAACGGAAAGAACTATATTAACGGAAGGTACAATCGCTACACAGAGGCTATTCTCTTTGAAGTCTATTCTCTTTTGAAGTCTAGAGTTAGTTGATTAACTTTAACTCCAAGTATTATTTCTTATCCTACTTTTTTAAGTTCTAAGATTCTTTTAAAAATGTATAAACAAATGCTAAGGATTAAAGGAAATAGAATTTTTTTTTAATTAAGAAAGGCAGTATGAAAAATGAAAAACAAATTTTAAGCTAAAAGCATTTGATGATAAAAACTGTATACCTTAAATGTGCCATCAGGGAATATAAGTTTCTGCTGGGAAATTTTAGATAGTCTTGTTTTCCATGGAATAGAAATTCTGAATTTCTTATTGTCCCACACTGAACTCTTAAGTACTTAAATTCTTTGAAGAATGGACACCAATACTAACTCTTTAAGGAACAGACCTTAATTTTTGTTCACAGTACCTTAGAAGTTCTTTTTTTTGTTGTTCTAAAGATTTTATTTATTTATTTGACAGTGAGAGACACAGCGAGAGAGGGAACACAAGCAGGGAGAGTGGGAGAGGGAGAAGCAGGTTTCCCGCGGAGCAGAGAGTCCGATGCGGGGCTCGATCCCAGGACCTGGGATCATGACCCGAGCCGAAGGCAGATGCTTAACAACTGAGCCACCCAGGCGCCCCAGAAGTTCTTCCTTTTAAAACCCCTTTTTAGAACCCTCCAAAAATTGGAATGAAAAACTATCTGTAGGCGGGTACCTCTAGTCCACGGAGCTGAGTCTGTTGGCTGATCTGATGGTTTAGTTGTTGCAATTCCAGTCGTAGCTGTTCCCTCTCAGCAGATGGAAGGGGTTTTCCATGACTGGCCACTTCTGACATGGACAGTCTCTCCCTTTGGTGGGAAAGAAAGGATGGAATAAATTTTAAGTTTTATTAAAAAAAAAATTATTGACCTAATATAACATTTTGTGTCAACTATACTTCAACTGAAAAAAAAAAATTGAAAGAAAACAAAAACCCCTCTAGGTTTGATCTACTACTGTTCTGACATAAAAATCTGTTACTTCACTATGAAAATAATAAAAGTTATTGACAAAAAAATAAGAAAAGCTGAATAATTTTAAAGGTTTATAAAAGTAAAAAGAATGAGTCATACCTCTCACTGAAGTGTCCCTGAGAAGGTATGTTTTGATGAGGTGAATATGGAGAACCTCCCCAGCCACCGTGGGTTCCATATGGACTATAATCTATAAGAGAATAATTTACTGTGGGATGATGCAATTCTGAGATTTCATTCTTCTTTTATGGTAGCCATAATCTGGGGTGCCTGTGTGGTTCAGTTGGTTGAGAGTCTGCCTTCGGCTTAGGTTATGATCTCAGGGTCCTGGGATTGAGCCCCACATCAGGCTCTCTGCTTGGCAGGGAACCTGCTTCTCTCTCTTTTCCCCCACTCTTTCTCACTATCTCTGTATCTGTCTCTCTCTCTCAAATAAATAAAATTTTAAAAAATAAGGTAGCCATAATCTAAAAGGCACAGGCATATTTTATACACAGCTATCTGGAAAGATGTCCACTAATTAAAGAGGATACTGATGTTTGTTTTTTCCCCACTGAAAGAAAACAGTCTTTGGATTGTTTCTTTCTTTTCTTTTCTTTCTTTTTTTTTTTTGGCAGGGCTTGAACTCACAACCCTGTGATCAAGACCAGAACTGAGATCAAGAGTCAGACACTTAACCGACTGAGCCACCCAGGCGCCCATTTCAATTTTTTAAAATGAGAATGTATTATTTTAATAAAAGCAATGAAGCTATTAACACAAAACCAACATAGGCAATCTTCACACAGGGATATTTTAGTTTGTACCCTTAGAATTCCCTGGGTTATAATTATCTTTCAACAGGGATAATTCCATGGAAGAGTTTAAAAGATTACTGCCTTGTAAGATTATGGAAAGCACTCATAGTAAATGGGGAGTAGGGATGGGGGCTGAAAGTCTTGAATATGAACCCACTAGATCAGCTTACCTTCAGTTCTTACCTGAAATATTAATAGGTTTTGTGGGAGCTCCCTGAGGTGCCATAGCCTGCATTGGACCAGCACCCTGATATATTGTTTTGGAGGTTCTAGAGATGGCACCAAACCGTGATACAGTTGGTCGGTCTCCAAATGGGATAAGGTCATCATCACTGGTTTCTGCAGCTCTTCTCTGAAGATCCAGTCGTTGATCTCTCATTCCTTTACTCTCCACATTCTGGTAAAAAGTAAAATGAGAAATCCACCCCACACTTAGATCTCTAACATTATTTCCACAGCTCTGTGATAAGGTAAAAAAAAAAAAAAAAAAAAAAAAAAAGTATAACGTTCTTATTGGTAGAACTAAAATAATTTGCTTGTCATCATAAACATTGCTTTTTAAACCTCTGATCACTCCCCCCAATAATATATTTTACATCATGACCCAGTACATATATATATACACTCTAATATACAGATATAATTTCATGACAAATATTTACCTCTTACTATACGTGCTCTTGTATTTATATTGTTATTCTACATTATTCCTTAAAAAAAGACCCACCACAACCCACTCAATTTCAAAACTCAATAGTTAGAAAACCACTGCCTAAAAATATTAAGTAGCTAAGATGTTTCAAAGGGATTCCAATCAGAAAGAAATAAGTACCAAGAGAAATGGAAACGGAAATCTAACTGGTACACCCTTGTTACTCAAAATATAGTTTGAGGACCAGCAGCAGCAGCATCAGGTGGGAACTCATCAGACATGCAGAATCTCAGGTCCCACCCTAGTCTTACTGAATTAGGAACTGTACTTCACCAGGTTCTAATAAGACTCCAACATAATTTACATGCACACTAATGTCTGAAAAACACTAACAGTCTTTCACCTGTTTGGGAGATTTTCAATTATATCTAGGTTAGGTTGACAAATATTTTTATTCTTTAGTGATTTAAGGAAATGAGTCTTATTTTGCTAATTTCTGTTACTTTAATAACCCTCCCCCACTTTTAAAAATATTTATTTATTTGAGAGAGAGAGAAGAGAGAACATAAGCAGGGAACGGGGCAGAGGGAGGAGGAGGAGCAAACTCCTTGTTGAGCGGGGAGCCAGAAAAATAAACAAATAATAACGTGTGTGTGTGTGTGTGTGTGTGTGTGTATAACAATACCAGTTATCATACAATGGTATTTGATAAAAGCAGTTAAAATGAAAGAACCTGACCTATACATTTGGATGTATCTCAAAAACAAAAGTTGAATGAAAATGCAAGCTGAAGTATATAATATATATAAAGCCTATAAACATACAAAATTGTTTAGGAATAGTACAAAAGTATCCATGAAATGATAAACTTCCAATTCAGGATAAACATTACCTCCACGGAAAAAGGAAGAAAAACGAAATTAGGGAAGTATATACAAGATTTAACTATTTCTATAAAGTTTTATTTCTTTAGAAAATAAAGAAGCAATCAAGATAGCTACATATATATATATATATATATATATATATGTATATATATATATATACACACACATATAAAGCTTGGATATTAAACATAAAAATAAAATAAAATATAATACATTTCAATATACCACAGTTGACTTGAAGCTTACTAGCTACAATTCTGACTCAAATACTACTACTGTTCATTAGATTCAACTTCACTGTTTAAACTTCAGAGTTTTAAGAGTTATAATTTACTTGAACAAGAAATCCAAGATCCTGATTAATTATGCAAAATAACCTAATTTTGGTTCTAAACAGTTGTTGGGCTAATCGTTGGCTGCTCAGAAATACAACAAACGCTCTTGTCTATTTAGACATGTATTAGAAGATTTATGTTTATACCTGAAAGAAACAAATAAAAAACCCATATAAACATAATTCAATTCACATCATATAGAATATGGCCTGAGATTCTTAAGGAAAGCTCAATTATTTGTGTCTTCACTATTAACAGGGTCTGACTTATTTGGTTTCTCTTCATTTGTATTCATTGTGGCTTAGTTATCACACATACCATCATTTCCACACTCCCTGCAGCCACCACATCTTTGGGTTTTGCATCTTTGGTTCCAATGTAGGAGCCGATGGTGTCACATGACCAGGGAGAATACTGGCTATAATCATTTCCTTTGTATTTCCCAGCTACCTTCAAGTCTTCATCCAAAAACTACAGATGGAAAAAAAAAAAAAAAGATATATATATATATGTCTTATAAGTAACGACACAGAGAAAGCAGGAATTTCTTAGAACACCACGCTAAAGCAACATAATGATGGTTGCTTTATCTGTTACAACAGAAGATTTCTGTAGACTATGAAAAATATAAAACACGTGAAGAAAGATGTTTAGTTTTTACCCTTTGTTAGCAGAGGGTCAAAAACAAGTATCTCAGTATCTTTCAAGAAATTAAGCCAGGACTTTTGAGGAGGTTTGCTCATCCTCTTCTTCATTGGATGGATCAACCCTTGAGCTAATATGCACCAGGCCCTAGTTTTGCTGGACACTCCTCATTGTTTCTTTCAATAACATTCCAGGTTAATAAGAGCATTACTTGGAATGTACTTAAAATGGAACTTGGAATGTTCTATATAGTGCATCATGATGCAGTAACTTTTTTTTACTGAAATCTCTTTAACAGCATTAATTCGTATTTTAAATAAATTCTGGTCCTTAGGTTGCTTCTGTGAAGTGAAAAGGGAAAAGACACTGAATCTTCTCAAGTTGAGTTCTGAAATTATATAATAACAGAATAGCTATTCTAGGTCTAACATATTTTTTTTTTAAATCACAATATTCACATTTGTGTGAACTTTTATAGTTTTCAAAGTGCTTTTATGTATACTACCTCAAATGTTCCGCAGGTCCATGTGAGACCACAGCTGATCTAAGGCTATACCATTAAAGGGCAGAACTAGAACTTTATCACAAATATATATGCATTGATATACTGATAACATAGGGGCTATTGATGTATCTAAGTGGCTCTATGCCTTCCCCCATCTAAAAAAAACAAAAAACTTTTCTGAGTCATCATTACTGGTTTTTTATAGTGACAAAGGGTTTTGTTGTTCATAAATATTACTCATTTAAAACCATAACTCCCATTTCTACTGTTTATAAACTTTTTTTGTCCTATCTCAATTTAAAAATTTTCTCTTTTATTTCTCCTTCACATGCAAGCTTCATGTAGAACAGCTAGCTTTTTAAAGATATGACCTACTAACAAGAGTGCTTACCCTGCCGCACCCTAATATATTATGTGGCTGGTAAAAAGAATTAGATAAATTTATTTACTGACAAAGAAAGACATACAGGATAATTGGTTAAGTAAAAACAATAAAAAAAGTAAATATAAACAAAACCTCAGAATATATTACTAAATGATCCTATTAAAAAGTAATAGGTTAGTTCATGCACACAAAAGTTGAAATATATTTAGAAAGTTGAAATTTATAATAAACTTACGATGATACAGAATATGGGATGCTGGAGAAATTTCTCTATGTTATATATTTTTATAATGTATGAATTTATTTTTATTTATTTATTTGAGAGAGTGTGTGTCAGAGGGGTCGGGAGGAGCAGTGGGAGAGGAAGGAGCAGGCTCAATCCCAGAACCCCAGGATCATGAAGTGAGCCAAAGGCAGATGCTTAACCAACTGAGCCACCCAGGTGCCCCAAAATGTATGAATTTAATACAATCATATGTAGGCTGTTTATAATCAGAACTGAAGTTTAAATATATAGCCTTGTATGTCAGTAACTAAAATAATTCTAGATAAAATTCCTTAACAGCAAGGCATTATTATAATATTTATTAGAAGTAAAAAGAAAAAAGCAAATTTAAAGTTATTATTTACTGAGTGCCAGATGCCTTATGTCTCAGTAAATCTTTACCACACCACTATGAAGTAGGCTTTATTATGCTGGATTTACAAATGGAGAAACCTGAGCTTCAGAGTTTAGGGAGGCTAAGTAACTTATAAAACATCACACAGAATGACACAGCTGAACTTCAAAAATAAGTACGTTTGATTCCAAAATTAGCTTACATCTTTGCAGTGTCATATCACTAAAAAAATTAGTATGGCATAACAAGGCTCTAGGAGGACTCTAACATAGAATGTTTGAAAAGTAATTTTATACTTACAAGTAAAATTACATTAATAGAAGATGTTATGACTTTACTAATTAACCTACATTGTAGAAAATTCATCTAAAGTGTTTAGATAGAAAAGCTAGATAACCGTGAACAACTTTTATTTAGTAGACCACTTTCATAGGCCCAAAAAATTATTGTTTTATTATATGCAATGTGATGCACCTCACTTTTCACTGTTTCTTATTCATAATGTCAGACAGCAATGTTCTTTAGAATCATAACTCTATCCATAAAGGATGTAAGACATTTTCCTTACATAATATCAACTGCAACCTTGCTGAGAAAACCTAATGGATTTTTAAAAAACTTATACACACTATGGTTGAGGCAGTACATACAATCAACACACCAAAATAAATAAGATCAATAAAGCAAAAGCTGGCTTTTTGAAAAGACAAAACATAAATTCCTAGCAAGACTGGCCAAGAAAAAAAGTTATTACCAATATCCTAAGTGTAAAACTGAACACCACTATAGACCATGTAGACATTAAAAAGACAACATTCATTCATGATAATCAGCACTGTCCTGTAGAAACACAAAGTAATCCCCAAGATCATGGTTTATACCCTGCAGTACATTAACCAGTTTATTCTAGCAACTTTATATTAGTGGTTTTTCCTCTGCCTTTCACACTACTATATTAGCCTGTCTCTCTTCTTCTTTGAATCAACTTTATCATCCTATTTTCCTCATTACTGAGTTAAATAAATCCTTGACGTCTCAATTATAAAAAAAAGTCTAAAACTAGTAATAGAAGGGGATTATTAATTTGATGAAGATCATCTACCACAAAACCTACAGCAAACATCATATTGATAAATTATTTAAAAGCTCTATTTGCTCAAAAACTAGAAATAAGTCAAGAATACCTGCTGTCATCCCTTTTATTCAACATTATACTAGAGGATCTTAGCTAGCACAACAAGGTAAGAAAAAGAAGAGACATAAGAATTGAAAAGGAGAAGGTCAAATGGTCATTATTCACAGAGGATCTGATTGTGTGTATAGAAAATTCAAAAGAATGCACTAACAAATACTAGAACCAATAAAGAAATTCAGCAACACTGCTGAATACAAGGGTCAATACACAAAAATCTACTTAATTTCTCTGCATTAATAACAAAATGAAATTTCAAAAAGGATTCCATTGGTTTCAAAAAATATTAGTTATCTAGAAGTTTAATTGAAGATAAGCAAGACACTAAAAACTATGATTTATGACATTATTGGGAGAAATTAAGATCCAAGTAAATGAAGGAAATACAATGTTCTTGGAAACTCAATATTGTAAAGATGTCACTTCTCCCTAAATGGATCTAAAACAATGCCCAATGGAAATATAATGAGACCTACATATATAATTTTTAAAATTTCCAGCAGCCACATGAAAAAAAGAAACAGGTAAAATTAATTTTAATAATACATTCGATTTAACCTAATACATCCAAAGTATTATCTTTTTTTTTTTTTTTTTTTTAAGTAGGCTCCATGCCCAGTGCAGAGCCCAACATGGGGCTTGACCTCATGACCCTGAGATCAAGACCTGAGCTGAGGTCCAAGAATCGGATGTTTTGGGACGCCTGGGTGGGTCAGTCAGTTAAGTGGCTGCCTTTGGCTTAGGCCATGATCCTGTGGTCCTGGGATCGAGCTCCTCGTTCAGCTCCCCACTCAGCAGAGAGCCTGCTTCTCCCTCTCCCTCTGCCTGCCACTCTGCCTACTTGTGCTCTCTCTCTATCTCTCTGTCAAATAAATAAATAAAATCTTAAAAAAAAAAAAAAAGAATTGGATGTTTAACCAACTGACCCATCCAGGGCGCCCCTTAAGTATTATCATTTTAATATATAATTAAGAAATTAATAAAAAAAGGAAAATACATTAATGAAATGTTGTACTCCTGGGGTGTGCTAAATCTTCAGATCCAGTGTATATTTTATGCTTACAGTAAACTGAATTTGGACTAGACACATTATTTTAAGTACTCATTAGCAATATATGGCTAGTGGTTACCATACTGGACAGCACAGATCCAGAAATTCAATATAACCTCAACAAAAACTGCAGCAGATATTTTTGTGAACATCAACATGCTAATTTTAAAATGTCTGGAAATTGCAAGGACTAAGAACAGCAAAGGTAATACTGAAAAATACACATCACAACATACTAAGACATATTAATAAAACTACACTAAGACAACGTGGTGCTGGTGCAAAGACAGAGAAATAGATCGATGAAACAGAACAGAGTCCAGAAACATCATAGTCACCTGACTATGACAAAGGTGACCTGATTATGACTACTGTGACTTCAGGGCACTAGGGAAAAGATGGTCTTTTCATTAAATGGTGCTAGGTCAATGAGATTATCTTTTGGGGGAAAAATGGATCTTTACTCCTAACATAGTAACAAGAATCAATTCTGGATGGATTGTAGATCTAAATATAAAATAAAATAAACCTTTTAGAAGAAAACACAGGAAAGTAACTTCATAATCTTAGAAATAGCCAAGACACACAACAAACAACTGATGAAGGAAAAATTGATAAATGAGACTAAAAATGATGTGCTTACTTCCTCTTGATGAAAGGTAGGAGGCAATGTTGGTGAAGGTGCAAAAGGAGGTGGAGAGATAACCTTCCTTTCCTCTAGCTGGGCCATTATTTCCTTTCGTCTGCGATGTAGCTCATCTAGACTAGGATGGGGCTGAGGAGGAGGAGGAAGCCGGCTATAAGGAGGGTCCTAGGAATGCAAACATTAGTAAAAACTGAAAAAGAATTTCAGAACACATTAACTCATTTAGCACATATTTTTAAATAGGTAGCAGCTTGTGTATTCATCTCAGTATTTGAACATACTAAGATTTAATAAAACAAAGCCCCCAAAACTCTGAGGTTTTCCCAAAGAGCTAAATTTAAATTTCTTTTCCTTGGCCAGAGACCGTAATTTCAAATACAGTTGACCCCTGAACAATACAAGCTTAAACTGCACAGGAACACTTACACATGGGTTTTTTCAATTAAAACAGTTCTGTAAATATATTATCTCTAACGATTTTAATAACTTTTTTTCCTCTACCACATTGTAAGAATACAGTATATAATACATAAACATACAAAATATGTGTTAATTGACTGTTTATGTTAGGCTTCTGCTCAACAGTAGGCTATTAGTAGCTAAGTTTTTGGGGAGTCAAAAGTTATACATGGGTTTTCAATTGCATGGGGGGCACTGCGCCCCTTAATGCCTGCATTGCTCAAGGGTCAAATGTAGATCTAGAAATGTTAATAAAACTAAAGTTCAGAAACTAAGAAGCGTTAGTGGGAGTGGGGTGGGATATTTTTTTTTCCCTTTAATAGTTAAAAAATAAATAAAATAAGCCCAAAACAAACAAACAAAAAAAACCCTACCCAAATTGTGAAAAGATGAAAAAAAAAAGGAAGGGGGAAGCTTTCTCATAAAAAAGAACTGATCAAAGGGTTACTACCATGGCAAAAAGGTAAATCACTGCAACCAATAATCAAATTATATCTATATAATAATAAAAAAAACAGCATACTCTCATGTACGAAGGTCTGATCTGAGTTGGATGAGGAGCCACTGGATAGTAACCCTCCATCTGCTGGTATCTTTCTCTGGATTCTGGTACATAGGATGGTACTGCTGTAGGTGGAATCTCAATGGGTATAGGACTTTCTCGGAAAATCTCCTCTCTTGTGTAAGACTGAGCGGGGTATACTCGGCGGCCATCATAGTGTGGTGGGTACACAGGCGGGTATTGTTGTGGCTGTGTGCCATACTGAGAGTTTACTACACGATCTTGGAGATAGGCTGGATAATGATCCAAGTAGGGAGGACCAGGTTCAGGAGCAGATGGTGGAGGTCTGACAAAGCGAGATACACACTGTGGTGGTGTAGTATAGTACATACCTGTACAATACAAAAAAGGAACCAAAAGCAACAATAAGCCAATCTGTTTTTCTATATTTTTCCTTTTAATATACTTCAACACTAAAGAATTAATAATCCACTCATTTCTTCACGTTTTCCCCTCTGCTTATGTAGTCAGGTTAGTTTTATGAAAAATAAACAAAAGTTAACCTTAATCCTTAAAAGTCACTGAAAAAACGAATCTATTGATAATCTACACCAGTAGACTGGCTCTCTCAGTTGTTCGACCATCTTGCTGGTGTGCCTTAATGCAGTGCAAACACTGGAAAGCAAGACTACATTTCCCTGAAACTCAGGTTCCACAAATCACTCGCATGAAATCTGAATGTGAAATGGAGCTAACTGGAAAGGAATGTGGCACACACAGATCTATTCTGCTGCTGCATAGCTCTGGAGTTCTGGAGACAACAGTTGTAGCAAGGAGTGTCCCAATTTTCAGACTTCGGCCTCAAGTGATATGATCCTGGCGCATAGACAGGAACCATGTTTCCTATTTCTACTGCTTCCTCACTTTTTTTTTTTTTTTAAGATTTCATTTATTTGAGAGTGAGTATGCACACATGCACAAGATAGAGAAAGCGTGTGCATGCACAAGCTGGAGAGGCAAGGGGAGAGAGAGAGAAGCAGGCTCCCCACTGAGCAGGGAGCCCAATGTGGGGGCTTGATCCCAGGACCCCGGGAATCATGACCTGAACCAAAGGCAGACGCTTAACCAACTGAGCCACCCAGGCACCCTGCTTCCTCACTATTAACAAGCTTTTTCAGTAGCTATTTCTGGGACTCATTCCTGGAGGCCTAGCTTAAGCCTGCTTTTCCAGTACTTCCACTGATTCTGTAGGCACCTAAACTCCCTGCATTAAACCTCTTTCTGCTTAATACAGCAAGAACGATTTCTGATGTCTGCCACTGGATCTTGACTGACACAGTGTATTTAAGGTCACCTTCACAAGAGTAGCTGAATTTTTCCTGTGATGGATGGCCCAAAGGAAGATACAAAAAACTTTCATCACATTTTTACATGTGTTAATAATGCCATACCAATTTAAAGCTATTCTTCTGAAAGTAGAGAAGACATTTCTAATTCAAAATTAAGACAGCCTTGGGAAAAGGAAATGGAGAACACCTTTAATCTACTACAGTTTAAAAAAATAATAGCACCACATGGTCTCTGACAGAGATCCAACACTTTAAAAATCAGTGTTCCTATTTTTCACAGGAATTGTACATGTGAAGCCTCGGTCATCTCCACTCCTTCACTATCCATACCTAGTATTGTCATTAAAGCTGGCTAATTTTTCAAATTTGACTATTTTCTCAATCCCTCCTTCTTCTTTCCCACCACACTAATCCAGGCCTCAATACTCACACCTGGTTTAACAAAAGTCCCCTTATTCCTCCTCAACTCTAGACTGTCATCCTTGCAATCCATTCATAAATTTGTATTTTTATTCCCATACTTCTATTTAGGGCATTGTTTCATTAAGTCTTTTTGATTCCTCAAGTTCTCAGTGATCTCCCTTGAGCCTTGCAGTTAATCTCCACCATATTATTATTAACCACAACTGATGCTTAATTTTTAACACACATATATGCACACACATACACAATGTACGTATACTCCTACTATTTCTTTACTAATATTGATTCTACACTATTAACTCTCTACAGTACGTATGCTGCATTTTTTTCAAATATACTACAGGGCCCAGAAAAAATATTAGGTGATAACTGAAAGCAAGAAAAACATACTGTGTGTTTAATTTATACCCACTGTAATATTAAATTCTTTTTCACGCTCAAAGAAAATTTTGGTCAGGAAAATATATACTGCCTTAGTTAAGCAAATTTCTACTGTCTACTTGGGTCACTTGTTATTTCCATAAATATATCCACATATTTAATATATAACTAGCTTCCAGTGATGGGAAGTTTGCTTTATATACCTCTGTTAGTTCACTTATTTTATACTATTTCGTTGATCATAAAATCTCTACTTTTTCCAAAGTATTACATAAACGCATTTATTTATCTTGAGGCTGCTGCAAATATGATCACTCTTTCTTGGAACTGTTCTCATAACTCCTAAGAAAAGAGAGCAACATAAACAAAAGATCATTACCCTGCTGATAAGGTGCTGGTTCAAATGGTGGCGCAGCTCCTCGAGGATCCTGATAATAAACATCTGCCTGTTGTGCTGGATATAACTGAGAACCTCGTGGTACCATCTGAAGTGGTTTGGTGACAGGCATAGGAGGCAAGTCTGTCGGCCCCCTTGGAGGTACAGGATGTGGATTCACAGGTAAGGCAGAAATACTCTTAGGGACAGATTCTAGCCTAAAGGAGTAAGATTCTACAAGTCAAGTTTAAGGTCTCAAAAACACTTCTAATATACACAAATTACTAAATGTTAATAAAGCCAAAAATGAAGTGTGTTGTTTTTTTTTTAATAAAACACTGATTTTTCTTTCTTCCGTCTACTTCCCATACTAACTTTAAATAAAAGTTAGGAAAAATGACGTACAGGTCAGGAGGGGATCCAGGGGCACTACTGCTCAGATGATCTATCTTTCCTGGCTTGAGGCTAGAATCGTAGGTGGCGTCTGTCCCTCGGGGAATCAGCTGTGTTACCGTATTCCCTGCTGATACAATTCCATTTGGCAGAGCAGGGGTTTTTCTGCTAGGCAGATCCACTGCACCTTCATCTGGAAGGACAGCTGCTGAAGGCAGGCCCACCTCATTAAGCTGACCCAAAGAGGCACTCAGGGGTCTTCTGGGAACTAGGCGTTTGTTCATTTTACGAAACCTATATAGAAAGCAAAGTCACACACCAAAACCCAAAATTATAAAAGCAAAACCAAGAACTAAAATGTATTTGAAAAACAGATACAAAGGAAAAGCTACTACGAACATTACTTTCTAGAAATTCTCTTGAAACATTGGCTGTAGCTATCAACTTGAAAACGTGTGTGTGTAGACACTACAAAATCTCAGGCAACACACTAAGTATAAAATTCCTTATAATGAGAATTTGTTAACACTACAAATCATGCTAATAATATCTGCATTATAACTTACTTTTACTGTAATTTCTATTTCTGAAACACTGGAGGGGGGAGAAACATCTTTAGAAGACAGTTTCTGAAATATCTTACTTTAGCTTTCCCTCAAATGCCTTAGGATACAGTTAGCCTATATTATAAAATAACAATAAAACAAAAAGCCAGTGTGCAGAGAAAAATTTACCACTTATTCCATTAAAATTTTTAAATTAAGAAGAGTACTTTGTATCAGATATGATTCAGACATGCTGATGCTATGTGTGCCCACCCAAAATTAAAATTATTTTAAAAGTGGATTAATATATGCAATACAGAAAAATGCCTAAATTTAAACAGACACTGCAGTATAAAATGCATGTAGATTCTAAATCTAACCACAGGAATAATATTAAGCCATCTGACTCTAGTACCCTTGTTCCTCAACAGTGAAAGCAAATCTATTTACACCTGCTAGGACACTTTAAAAAATAATCTCAAGGACAACCCCCCATAAGAATAATGCTATTTTTCCAAATGTTTCCCATATTTGACAAATTTCAGAGGGGTGGAGAGGAGACACTACTCCTTAGGTGTAACCCCTGTTAACAGTCTGGTACATAATCATACAGATTTTCCCCTCCATACCATGCCTTAATATTAAGATGAATGTACGACCATTATTAACAGAAATAGGGTCATATATGACTGCTTAGTAACTTCTCCTTCTATTTTGGAACTTGGATATTCCTTTATGTCAGTACATTTTAAGTTGTTTCTAATTTTTTGCTATTAAAACAATGCAGTAACAGATGCTTATGTACATGTACTTGCATCCTTGTGTGACTAAATGACTAACCTGAAGCAGAATTGTAAGTCTAATGTATGCACATTAGAAACTCTTACAATGCTCTAAAACTATTATAACTCCTAATGATAATAAATGTCCTTTTCCCTTATCTCATCAAACACTAGGCAGTATCACAGTCCCTCTTAATTTGTAAGTTCAAATTATCATTTTTTAAAAAGATTTTGAGAGGGCGTGCACAACACACATGCACATGCATGCACGGAGGCAGGATAGAGGGTGGGGTGGAGGGATTAGCAGACTTCCGGCAGAGCGGGGAGCCTGACACCCTAGCCCCTCCATTTCAGGACCCTGAAATCATGACCTGAGCGGAAAACAAGAGTCCTATGCTTCATCGACTGAGACACACAGCTGCCCCTGAAAATATCATTTTGTTTTAATTTGTATTTAACAATCAATGAAGTTGACATTGTTTTACTTTTTTTTTTAATTCTTCTGTGAATTGCCTATTTGTTCATGATCTATATATTTACCGGTTCTTCTTACAGATTTGTAGTAACTCATTTTATATTAGGGATGTCAGTCCTCTGTTATGTCATTTCCCCACGAATCTTTTTTTTTGTAATTGTGGTGTTTGGGCCACATCTTAGATTTTTTACATAATCATATTTATCAATCTTCTCCTTTACGAATGTTGGGTTGTCTTTCAAAAATTCTTTACTATTGTAAGATTAAGTAACAACAGAAAAGATCTCTAAGTACAGTTCCTTCTTAAAGATTTAAATCTCTAATGCATTTATAATTCATTTTGATATAAAGAATTGAGTTCTAATTATTTTTCAAACGGATAGCAGTTGTTTCAATGTCATCTTCTCTGTTACTGAGGTGAAATGCCACCTTCAGCACAACACTCAGTTCCTATTGTGTCTGGCATTCTTTCTAGATTTTCCTTGGTATTTCATTGATCTACCTGTTCCTATGCTAATACCAGTCTTTAGGTACACTGCAGCTCATAATACACCTTAATGGTTGTTAGTTTAATCTGTTGAAAACTTATTTTTTCAGAAACTTTCTGGCCATTTGTATGTATTTACTTTCCCCAGTTAAGGATTTTGTTAGGTCCTAACAATCATCATGTTAAGATTCTAATTGAGATTTCACTGAATTTATTGTTTAAGAGAAGATAAAACCTATATAATGGTAAGTCTTTTCCAAGAATACAGTATGCTTCTTCATTTATTCAGTTCTTCGCTTATGTGAGTAGGTAGCTTACTAATTCAATCCTCAATAGTTCTTGTTACTTTATTATTTGGTATTTATCTTTTTTGTTGTTGGTGGTAATGCCAAAGAGATCTTTATTTTCCTTTACTCTGTAACTGGTTATGTTTCCCTTTTTAGTTTATATGAGAGCAATTCATTTCTGTAAAGTAGTATTTTTGATTTGCTAAAATTTTCATTTTTTTTGTTTCTAGTACTTCTTGAATTTTTCCATGTAATGATTTTATGACAATTTTATTCTTTGGTATGTACAGTGGCTACTGCTCCTAGAATGTTCAATAATAGTCTCACTACTGCTAAATTTTGCCTTACTGTCAACTTCAATGAGACTGAATCTACTATTTTACGAATTGAGCATCATGCAGTTATACTAGCTTTTGAGATACAATTATGTTGAGCAAGTGTCTACGACAGCTTTCTTCTATTAAAGAATTGTGATCTATTATGAACATCTGATTTTATTCAAATGACTTTTGGCATCTTTGCATATGATCACATGGTATTTCTTCTCTAACCCTAAAGTAATTACATTGTGTTACCTTTGCACTTCACGGTGTCTACTTTAACGTATTACTGAATGCTAATATTTGGGATTTTTAAAATATTAATATGTGAGATGGATTTTTATTTTCTTTAATTGTGCTATCTTTGTCAAGTTTGGGGGCAATGTTACACTGGCTTTAAAAAAAAATAAGAGGTTTTCTTTTCTTGCTACTATATGCTAGAAAATTTAACACTGGAATTATCTGATCTTCAAAATTTATTTATTTTATTTTAAAGATTTTATTTATTTATTTGACAGAGAGAGAGAGACACAGAGAGAGAGGGAACACAAGCAGAGGGAGTGGGAGAGGGAGAAGCAGACTCGCTGTGGAGCGATGGAGCCCCGATGTGAGGCTCCATCCCAGGACCCTGGGATCATGACCTGAGCCGAAGGCAGACGCTTAACAACTGAGCCACCCAGGTGCCCCTGATCTTCGAAATTTAAAAGAAAATCTGTGAAGTTACGCCTGTCAATAAAATAATTTCATGAACAGAGCAAAGGGCAAGTTTTTCAATTGGAAATACGTTATTCAATTAGTTAAAATCACTTAAAATTGATGAAAATTTTTAGATTTTTAATTTTTTTTGGTAGTGCAAATGATTCACTTCGATATTTAGTTTCCTATTTGTGGGCACGATATAATGAAAGCTGAAGAAACTACTTCAGTTTTCTTTTTAAAAAAATCTGTATTACTTTCTAAACATTTCCCATTCATTAAAGAGCATGCAACTGCTCCTTTTCTGTTTCCTAACAGTGGCAAATTATTCTACTTAGTAACTCTACCTTATTTCATAACAAGTTATTAGAAGGTTGAGTTTAACAACTTTCACACTTACTTCTCCAGTTCCTCCTGTGAGTGTGCAAATGTACAGCTGGCCCCACGAGGGCATCCTCCTCTCTGCTTCATATCTCGACACATGTATGTTTTATATTTGCTATGCTGTGGAGGCTGAGACCAAAGTCAAAACATTATACACCGATTCGAACTAACTCACACAATTAACTAGATTGCCCAGAGCAAAAGTGTTAGAAAGCCATTCTGTCTGAAGTCCGAGTCCAAAAATAAATTAATTATAAAGAATGGGGTCCAGATTTTTTGATATATTGGCATTAATTCTCAAACATGTGGCATCATATAAATCCTAGATTAAATCTCATGACGGCTTTATCATTTTCTTTCCAGGTTTATAATGGACAAACAAACCACTGGAGTTTAGGGCTTTCCAATGTTTAATAAGTGTTCTAATATTTGTTTTGGACAATGTTTAGTATAGCTATATTTACAATTAGAATTTCCTATGACACAACACGAATCTATAGTAGGCTCTATAAATGAAAAATACTCTGTAACCAATTCTTGGTATGCAGAAGAATATATCAAGGACATACAGTATCTCTAAAAGTACAAATGAAACTATTATTTTCTAGTATAAGACAGAAGGATGGACTCGGGAGTTAATGAGATATCAAACACAATACTAAGCTAAATGAAATTTGATTACCTATCGATTTGATTACCATTTTATCACCTATCAACAGAACTTAAAAGATTAATCTTATTATTGTTACATTCTTCATGATGTCTAATAGAACATGGAGTTAAAAATAAGTTTTTAATCTTTTATTTCTTATCATAAAATAAAGTCTGGTCTATGCTTAGATAATTTAGGAAAACTGTATCCATATTATTCTACTCAGCAGGATACTTTCTTAAAAAAAAAAGATTTTATTTTTAAGTAATAACCAACGTGGGGGCTTGAACTCACAACCCTGAGATCAGGAGTCGCATGCTCTACCAAGTCAGCCAGGCGCCCCCCTACTCAGCAGGATACTGAATGGAACTTAATGTTTCTTGCCTCTCAAAGAAAAAAGAAATATTGAATAATCTATTGTTAATATTTACCTGAACCAGATAAATTAATAACAAGGTTTTAATTTCACAAGCTTACTATTGCAAAATAAAAGATCTAGTGAACCTAACATAAATCCCGAGGGCAAAATAAAGTTATTGGGAATAAAATGAAAAACTGTAGTCATAACGTAAGCAATTATGTTTTACTGTCATATATTTCATTTAAAAGTATTTGAGGAAAATTTGGCCTGCTTGCACAGCAGACATTATATGAATGAAAAATGTTAAAATACTACTACAGAAAAAGCATTTACAAATATATGAACAGTACTGGACAGATACAGCATTAAAAAGTGATATATATTGTCAAACTAAAATGTAACAGTAACCGGGGAGAATTTTACTTAACATAGAAACCTTCAGCACAGAATCAAATGCTGCTATATATCCAAAGTGAAAAATGACTCCAGTGCAACATTAGACCAACAGGATTACTTCATTCCATTGTTGCCAGATAAAATCACTACACTAATCCATGAAGCTGGCTGTAAACCATATTAAACTAATTTAGTTTCTACAGTCAGAGTCTCAAAATATTCATGTCATCTTGTTGGTTTTGTTTGTATCTGCCATAACATCCACAGTGGCTTACTTCTAAGTTTCCAACTTCCCCCTTACCTGCTGTTGATCTGCTCCCTTTTTGCTATGGTTCTGGATATAGTCTACAAGCCCATGTACCACAGTCCGCACAGCAACCAGCCCATTTTCTAGCTGCTCCCAAGTAGGAGGAGGAGCATCTACACAACAAATTAAAAAACTTTTTAAATGATGTTATTCAGTATTTTGCCCAATATTATTAAACTAACAAAAGAGTTAGTGTCAGCCCTTCAGTGAAATCAAGTCAGGCTTCATACAGCTTTTCAGGTAATAACGTATTCACACCTAAACATCATTTTAAGAAATGGATTGTAAACTAAAATAACTACAGGGACAGGGAAGGTAGCATAAAGAAATTAAGTTGGCCAGACAATAAATGGCAACCACCATTAGACACTCAGTGCTGGGAATGATGACAGAGAGACAGAGACAGGGTCTGTGCTCAACTGTAGAGTGTGGCCCACATCTAAGGTTATGGTTACTACTCATCTTTAGCTGATTGCCGTTACGTGATGATGCAAGGCTGGCACTCCAGATACACCGCTGTTTCCCAGGGAAAACTAAAATCTGAGATTTTCATGTAAAATTACCCAATTTTAAGTTTTACCTAAAAAATTTAGAATATTGTGCAGACCAACGCTATGTGGACCAAACAAAACTTAACTGTGGACTAGCCAATTTGTAATGGCCATTTTGAAATTCTGCATAAATGAAGTTTTGGTAAACAGAATGTTTTAAAAGCCTGCTTCTCCCTCTGCCTGCCACTTCCCCTGCTTGTGCTCTCTCTCTGTCAAATAAATGAATAAAATATTAAAAAAAAAAAAGTCTGAATGACTAGAAGAGTCACTATATAAAGCAACTCTGCTATATATCCTCTTCATTTAATATTTGCCTAGTGTCAGCGCTGTGATTTTATAAAGGAAAAGTTAACCACAAATATGAAATGTTCTCTAGGACAAAATATAAAAAGAAGTGAGAACACAAACATAGAGATGACTTCCTCTTGGAGACACTCTGAGAGAATTCTAGGTGATGGCTGTGAATGAGGCTTTGAAGGACTTTCACTTGGAAAAAAAAATTAAGATATAGAGAGGGTGAAGAGAAGAGTCATACAAAAAAGTACTGTTTGGAACACCTACTAAGTCCCAGGTATTGTTCTAGTTGCTAGGGAAGCAACAGTGATCAAAACAAAAAACCATTATACCCAAGGAGAGGAGACAGACAATAAATAAGATAATCGAAATATAAACAATTTATATAATGATGACTTGAATAAACAGAGCAAAGAAAGGGAGTGGGACCAGTATGTATAAAATTTTAGACTGGGTGGCCTGAGAATGTCTCCTTGAAAAGGGTACATTTGATTAAAGACCTGAAAACAGAAGGGGAATGAGCGTGCCTTGTGGATATATTAGGAAAAAAATATTCTAGGAAAAGAAAAGAATAAGTGGAAAGGCCCTGATGTGGGAATATGCCTGGCATGTTCCACGGAGGTCAAACTGGAAAGGAATGAATTAGGTAGAAAAGAATAGGAAATAAGCTTAGAAAGAGGTAAAGAACCCCAGATCACATGAGGCTTGGTAGGTCACAGGAAAGATTTTCGCTTTTACTAAACAATGGAAAGCACTGGAGATTTTTTTTTTTCAAGATTTTATTTATTTATTTTTAGAGAACGAGTGAGTGAGAGCGCACGTGTGTATGCGAGCACGGAAAGGGGGAGAATCTGAAGCCGACTCCGTGCTGGGAGCCAACCCAGGGCTCAGTCAGTTCTGGAGAACTTTTGAGCAGACGGGTAACAGGATCACTCTAGTTCTTATGCTAAAACCAGACAGACAAGAGGAGGCTCTTCTGTAATCCCTGAAGAGAGATGAGGATGGTAGTAGTGAAGGTGATAAGCAGACGCATTCTAGATGGATTTTAAAGGGAAGGGCCTACAGGGTATGCTATTGGATCAGATGTACCACATGTGAGAAAGAAGAGTTGAAGAGCTCTCCAAGGTGTTTGGACTGAGGAAATGAAATGGAAGGTTGTAGTTGCCACCAAAAGGAATGGGAGGTGGGGTGAGGGCAGTGTTTGGAACTCACTTTTGGACAGATTAAGTTTGAAATTCCTTTTTTTTTTTTTAAAGATGTTTTAATTTATTCATTTGAAAGAGACAGACAGAGAGAGGACAAGCAGGGGGAGAGGCAGAGGCAGAGGGAGAAGCAGACTCTCCACTGAGCTGGGAGCCTAATATGGGGCTCAATTCCAGGACCTGGAGACCCATGACCTGAGCCAAAGGCAGACACTTAACCATCTGAGCCACTCAGGCACCACTAAGTTTGAAATTCTTACTGGATATTCAAGTAGGCCTGCTGGATGTTGAGCAGGCAGGTGGATATACAAAAGAATTCAGGAGAAGTTTTGGGCTGGATATACTACGTTTCACGAATTCTAAATCAATTGCAACATACACCATTATTTTATGCGCCACCAAAATAAAAAAAGATTAATTAAATTACACGTCATTACTTACATAGATGCATCCCAATTTCAGAAATGCTAAGATCGAAAGAAATGTGGGCTTCAGAACTGATGAAATATAGTAAATTTGTGAGTCATGTAAATAAGATTTAAAGCTATGAGACTAGATGATATTATCTAGGGAATAGGTATAATTAGAAAAGAGATACATGTATTAAACTCTGGGAGCAATCCAAAAGTGAGAGGGTATGGAGATGAGAAATTAGAAGACTCAGCGGAGGGTCCAATAAAATGAGAAGGAAACTAGGAAAGTCAAGTGAAAAAAGTGTTAAGAGGATCAGAAAGTGAACAACAACATTAAATGCTGCTAACAGGTCAAATAAATGAGAACCAAGAAATGATGTCTGGATTTAACTTCATGGAAGTCACCTGTGACCTTGACAGAACAGTTTTGGTTGACAGTAGAGATAAATGCTTGATTGGAGTGAGTTCGAGAGCATGTTTAAAAAAAAAAAGGAGAAAAACAGGGTAGTAGGTGGATGGCAAATGTTGTCCAAGTGGGTTATGATGACAGGAGTAATAGGATGTTTGTATGTTGACAGAAATACTCCAGTAGAGAAGGAAACTTGATGATATAAGAAACAGAAGTGATATGAAGTGATATACTTGACAAGATGATATTAGGAACATGAGAAGGGAGAGGGGCCTTAGCTTAGAGGTACAGTTTATCCACTGTTACACAAGGATTGAAGACTATATTGGCACAGATACAGATAAACAGGTTGGTGATTGATGGTGTGGTGAACTTGTGGAAGTGCTCTTTTGATTCCTCAGAATGAGCAAAGCACAGTAGTGAAAAAAGAAAAATGTCAACTGTGTTCTAGGAATACATCTGACCTGGTTTTGATAGTAAGTTTTGATAGTAAATTGATAGCAATTTTGATAGTAAAATTTTTTTTTAAGATTTTATTTATTTGAGAAAGAGAGAGAAAGACAGAGAGAGCACACAAGCAGAGGGAGAGGGAGAAGCAGGCTCTCCGTTGAGCAGGGAGCCCAATGCAGGGCTTGATCCCAGGACCCTGAGATCATGACCTGAACCGAAGGCAGACACTTAACTGACTGAGCCACCCAAGTGCCCCATTGATAGTAAAGTCTATAAACGTAGATTGATAAAAAAATAAAATAAAATAAAAAATTAAGAGGGCCCTGAATGCCACTGTCAAGAGTTCCAAACCTTATTCAATAAGCAATGGGGTGTTACTGAAAGTTTATGAGCACAGACATAAGATCAGAAATGTGATTTATTTTGCAGCAGTAAGTGGGCTGGACCGAAAGAATTCAGAGTAGAGGAAAATGGAAGGCATACAGTCTCAGGAAAAGTAAGTCCCTCACCAATGCAGTATTAACCGGCATGGGATAGAGGGATATTGTGAAAGAACAGATAGATCCTGTTGTCTGAAATGGTATGTAGAGCAAGTAAAAGGAAAAGATACGAGCTAAGACAAGAGACTCGGGTTTTAAGTGTAAATACCTCAGACAATGAGGTCATGTAACAGAGAACACAGGAGGACGAGCTGGTATCAAGTGAAGAAGAACTTGCTTTGAAGAACAGAGGAGATGACGAAGACTCTCAGAAAGCATTTGGGAAAGTAAGTCTGGAGTGATGAAGAGACAACAATGATAGAGATATTTGGGAGTCTATTTTCTACAGAAAGTGATACCCAGTGCTGGGAATGAATGACTATCATCAATAGAATGCAAAAACCCCAAAATTCCAAGAACACAACTGGCCTACTCCTTAGTGGGCGGAGGGAAGAGTGGTCAAAATAAGACAGAAGCAGCATTTAGACAAGTCAGAAGGAGACTATGAGAGTACAGAAAGATAAGGTATCAGGAGAGTTTCTATACTGAGGAATTAGCCGATAACATTATCAAATGCTAAAGAGAAATCAAGTAATTTGAGGACTGAGAAACCACCTTTGGAATTCGAAACTGGGAAATTACTTGTGAATGTTAGGAGTTTTTTAGCTCAGGTGCTGGACACAAGCTAAAAATACCTTAGATGTGAAAAATGAAAGTTGGGTAATTTTCAGGTCAAGGGCAAGGAGCAAGAAAAGGGTTGACAAAGTAAAAATATGCAAGAGAGGATACTTGATGAATGAGACATTATCATCACAGAGTGGGGGAAAAAATGGGACCAAGAAAATGCAACTAAGGACATAGGATACAGAAAAAATTAGAGAACCTGTGTTTTGTCAAAATAGATGAGAATAGTAAATACAGCACAATTCTGTGATACGAGAAGGATCCCAGAGGGAATCTACTTCCCTGGTGAAGTGAGCAGGAAGTACAAGGGTTTTAAATAAATACTGGTTGAAGCAATAAACACATAGATGGACAAGGCTGGGGCAGAAACTTAAATAAAGGGGAAATTCTCAAGGAATGTAACAAAAGATAATTAATTAAAAGAATCAGGGACGCCTGGGTGGCTCAGTCGGTTAAGCGTCTGCCTTCGGCTCAGGTCATGATCCCGGGGTCCTGGGATCGAGTCCTGCATCGGGCTCCTTGCTCAGCAGGGAGCCTGCTTCTCCCTCTGCTTGTGCTCTCTCTCTCTCTCTGACAAATGAATAAATAAAAAAATCTTTAAAAAAAAAAAAAAAGAATCACTGAACAGCACTGAGACACACACAGGACAGTCCATTAATTTCCCTTGGGTTTATTTACCTGGACTAGGGTCAATGTTTGCCAATAGCTCCAAATGGGGTCTTAGTCGGTTCAAATTTGCTGGATCTCCAGTTCGCTGGAGAGCAATTGTTAGTTCCTGAACACTTTGTGCAAAAGAGGCTGGGGTCTGCAACTTAAAAAAGATAACTATTAACTTTCCAAAAACCAGCTAATCCTTTTAAAATAAAGATTATTTACAATATTGCAATCATTTTTGCAACTTATTATATTTAATTTTATCCTCCCACACATTCCAGGCTTTGGCCAGACTGGATTACTGGTGCCTGAGCAAACCCTGCACTTCCCTGCATTCACAGCTTGGCAGATTGTAACCTCTCTTCCCTCTGATGGCACATTCCTCAAATGTGAGGCCTTTCTCAATTCCTCAATTTGGAAGTATACTCTTTCCGTCTTACACACTATATTAGTTTGGCTCTTGGAGTGCTTCCAAAGAAGTGAAATTTGTAGTCTAGAGATAACACTATACAATACCAAGAACAATGAAACTGAACTCAGTCAAACGGAGCTTGAGTTCAAGTTCTGTTAGAGACCACAAATCATGACACCAGATATAATCTTTACGGACTCAATAGGAAGTCCATCTGTGATACGGACTACATAATTTCCAAAGTCCACTCCAGCTCAAAAAAAATCTTATAATGGTTTGGGATTCTTGGAAGCTATCAGGCTGTATATTTTCCTCAAGCTTAATTAATGACACACTTTCTTACATTAACTCCCCTAAGAGGCCCTACATATAGGACCTTTAATAGGGGGAAATTGATTAGATTACAGTAACTAAAGGTTCTTACTTGGAAACATTTAGCTCTCTATGCAGTTTATTAATATAGATGAGAATTTTTCTCCCCTAAAAGGTCACTCTTTAAAAGGTAATTTTTTTAAAAAAGCATACATTTTAAAAAACATTAAAAATAACCATTCAAATGCTAACATGCCTTTATTCAATTTTTTCATCTTTGCATGCTTTTTATAAACTTAAAATCATTTACACACTTATAGTTTTGGCTACCATTAATATTATAACAAAAGCATTTTTCTACTGCTAACCATTTTATTATGAAATATTTCAAAGTGTCTAATATAATGACAACACCCATGTATCCATCACTGATACTTAATAAAAATATTTCACTTTTTTTTAAAAGAAGTTGAATGTTATTTATCAGCTGAAGAGAGTAAATGTCTTGAAATAACTTATTTTAATGGCCCTATAACCATGTTCTGAGCAGAGAGCTGGATAACTTCTTTAACCATCTGTTTATTTTCTACTTGATAAATAATGTAGCAATTAACACTTCTGAACTCATAACCTTTTTCAAAGTTTGAATTATTTCCTTAAAATAAATTCCTGGGAATAGCAAATTTGATCAAAGGACATGAACATTTTGAGTTTTTATTCACTGACAAATTGTTTCCCAAAGGTTTTAACTAATGCATTTTACAAACCATAAGCAATGTATGGCAATATATGTCTCTTTTGCTAATTTAATAGGCAATATTTGTAATGTTAGTTTTAAATGTGCATTTAATTATTACTGGAGCTGAATTCTGTCCTATCAATTACATATGTTTCTTCTTTGTGAACTGATAATTCGTGTTTATCCATTAATTTACTATGATTATTGCTTTTCATATCACTTTTAGTAAGTTCTCTGTAAGGTCCAACACAGTAGCCATTAGCAGTATGTGGCTATTTAAGTTAAAATTAATAAAATAAAAATGTAGCTCTTCAGTTGCACAGTCACATTTTGGGTGCTAAACAGCCATGGGCGGCTAGTGATCCCCATATTAGATGGTGCATATATAGAACGTTTTCACTACCACAGAAAATTATACTGCTCTAGATAATAAGATGCCACATATACTGCAAAGTTGACCAGTTTGTTGTAAGGTCTCTGGATATTAAATTCAAACTATTGCTCATGATGCGAAGATACTATTACAGGATAAATTATAGTCTAGTTCACACAGAAAGGTCAACCTGCTTGTAGAATCTTTATAAAAGCAAGCCAAGTTTCTCTTCAGAGGTAGAAAGTTACTTCTTTAAGAGACCATTACTAAGGTTTCAATACATTATAATCAGTTAGTTGCATAATTTCAGGCCTAGGAGTTGCAGGTAAAGTTTGGGCAAAGGTATCTAGAAAAGATTTATAGGACAAAACAAGTAATATACATTATATTGAAAATTATGTAACAAGCATATAAAACACACTCCCCAATTGTCCTTTGACATCAATACACTATTCATTCAAATAATCCTTTCTCGGGAATAACAAAAAGTGACAGAATAGTCTGGAAAGATTTGGTGGTTAAGAACATGGATTCTAGAGTCAGTATACCCAACTTCAAATCCAGCCCTGTCACTTGTTACCTATGTGATCCTGGAGAAATGTACTTAATCTATCTCCCTGGGACAATACAGGGTTATTGAAAGGATTAAATGGATTATTTAAAACGACCAGGCACCAGTAAACTCTCAGTAAGTGTTAAATAGTATTATATTTGATCTACCCTTACATCTTGATCTTATTTCTTTAAATTAAATGTGGGTGGACTCTAAAGTATAATCATCTCTCTAGTTATAAGTATTTAAGGTAAAATAGTAAAAGTTAATGCTATCATAACATATATATTTACATGGTGCTTTAAGACTTCCTATACTTTCATATACTTCATGTTGAATTACAACAAAAACAATTATAGGATTATCCTAGTTTTAATAGAATTAAATATAGCACTTAGAGCCAGCAACAAACAATGGAGCCTGACCATGCGTACTCTAGTGATCTTTTTATCATAACAAAGAAGAGATAAAGTAGAAATAGGTTTATTGAAAATTTGATCAAACCTAGAATGATTGGTAACTTATTATGTGGAATTATTGTGGCTAAGAATCATAAGAAACGTGAATGTATACATTCTTCAGAACACTGAATGACTGGTACAGGAAGACAATAAAGGCATTTAGAAAATGGGTTTAATTAACACAATGATTAAAACTCAGGGAACAAAACAAGAAAGGGAGAGAAGCAACAATAATAGAGATGGAAGACTCTCAAAATAAACTAGAGTGTGCCGGATAAACTATTATAACACTAGTCAAATCTTATATGAACGATGTCAATTATACATTAATTAAAAAAAAAACCCTTAAATAAACAAACTGGTATTACTATGTGACAAGCTATGATAGTCAACTACAGATAATGTAATTTATAAGAGCCTGACATACAGTATTCACTTTAACATATATTTATTAAATAAATTACTAAATCATGAATTACCAAAACTCCAAGATTAGTCCAAGAAGTAAGGAACAAAAAAGGGTCTACTACCTTGTCAATAATTGACTGCATATGAGACTTGTGAGACTGGTCTCCATAAAGTAAAGAGGACCATTGGTCTGGTGCAATTCGTAAGCCTGCTTCCATGGCAATTTGCACTATCTGGGAGTCATGTTCTCGCCGCAAAGCTTCGTAGGTTCTAAATTCTTCTTTTAGCTGCATCAAAGAAGAGTCTTCATCACGTTTGGTGACCTAGTAAGACACACATAATCTCATGAGTCAGGTAAGAAACAAAATGAGTTTATACTTTATATGAGCACATATACAGAAGAGATAATTTTTAATATACCAAATTTAACAACAAGATTAAAATGGAACACACTGTTTTGCCTGTAAACCATTTCTGCCTTTAAAGACATCAAAATCTTGTGAATAGATCTTATGGAAAGAATGAGTATGTGCTGGAGGAAAATCCCAAGAGTGGATAGACCTTAACACATATATAGAGAGTTTAAACTGTATATGTGCAGATATGCATTTCTGAAAAGAAGAAAATACTCGAGGCACCTGTCTGGCTCAGCCAGTACAGCATGTGACTCTTGGTCTCAAGGCATGAGTTCAAGCCCCACATTGGATATGGAGCCTACTTCTTTATATATACATACATATGTACACACACACACACACACACACACACACACACACACACACACACACACACACACATAAAGCAATGACTTGAAGAAAATATGCAATTATCCTGGAAAAAAAAACCCAATGTATGTTTCTTCTTCATAACTGTGGATTATTAAACTTGGGCTTGCCTGGCATTGAGTTGGCTGATACTCCTAACTGAAAGAGCTTCATTCAGATGCTGGTATGATTCTAAAGATGATTAATCTGTGCTTAGCTTAATTTTCCACAGAGTTTTGCAGGCTGGGCCACCATCAGAAAGTATAAAAAAGTAATGATGATAGTATCTTTTAGTAATTAAAATTAATAACCCTATTGAGCCCTTAGTATGTACTAGTCAGTGTGTTAACTTATTTACCATCATACTGACATTAACTCATTTAATTCTCTAAACTTGTTGAGGCAGGTACTATTGTTATTTTTGCTATAGTGCTACATTTTGAATCAAGCTGGGTTTAGGCCAAAGGCTCAAGAAATCAAAGTTGAATACTTTTTTTTTTAAAGATTTCAATTATTTGAGATAGAGTGAGAGTGAGAGAGAGCAAGAGAGAGAGAGAGAGAGAGAGAGAGAGAGTGCATGAGCATGTGGGAGGGGCAGAGGGAGAGGGAGAAAAAAGAAGACTCTCCACTAAGCAGGAAGCCTGACGCAGGGATCAATCCCAGGATCCTGGAATCACGACTTGAGTCAAAGGCAGATGCTTAGCCAACTGAGCCACCCCGGTACCCCTAAAGTAAAATAATTAATTCTAGTCCAGGATCATCTGTATCCTAACATATTTCAGAATATATTTTACCTTGTTAACCTTTTATTCCCATAAGGACTCAAATTCCTCTAGTAGAAAATTCCCATTTTTCTCTTCCACCAAAGAAAACTACAGCAAGACTTCTAGGTCATCCTGATTATATTTTTTAAATGTATTCCATTCTTATCAGAAGAAGGTTTAACTTAAATTTTGTTAGATAAGTCCGTAAAAGACCAAATAGATTTAAAAAAAAATCAAAGAACTAGAGTCACAAGAACAAAATATATTTTGCCACTATTCAAAAGCAAGTCAAAATACCAAAGGCATTATGTGGATGTATAAAAACATCCTCTCAATATAGGCTAAACCTTATTAAAATGTAGAATGTTTTCTGTAAGATATACTAGGGTTCCCTGGCCTTGGTTCTCAAAACTGTCTTTTAACTAAAAACAGTCAAAGATTCCTAAGAGATGCATGTCTAAAGTAAGTCCTGGAACTATACTGTACTGAGAAGGACCAGAATTATCCCTGTCTGAAAAGGTTTTCCTTTAAAGATTTTATTTATTTATCATGATCTGAGCCGAAGGCAGACGCTTAAGGACTGAGCCACCCAGGCACCCCTGAAAAGGTTTTTCAAATGGAAATAAAAGAGATGCTAAAAGGATGCAGTTAGAACACAGCTATGTGGACACATACAGCCTATAAGGAAGAATGGAAAATGCCTACTGATGTGACTTCCACAAAGAAAATGAAATAGGTATTGGTAGATACTTAACAGAAACTCTGCCATGGTGAGTAAAATTTAGGGTATGGACCTATTGTGATGAGAGAAGGTAAGTCTTCTCATGATGGAGATTGTGGTACATATTACCAGCAAGAGAAGAAAGCAGGTAGACAATGAAATAATCATGACCCAAATGAAAAATAATTGGGTTTTTACAAATTTCCAATCTCTTTTCAATTACTATTAATGCTTTTAATTAGGATTGAGAGAGGTTCACTGTGGGTATTCTGGGGTTTTGGGACTCATTTTTCACAGGGAAAGGATGGATTTCTTTTTCTTTCCTTTTATTTTTTAAGCTTGCAATATTATGTCTGTCTGGTGCTGTTATTAGAGAAAAAAGAACTCTGGAAGCAGACAGACATTCTGAAGTATATTCCAGATTATACTGTACAATCATGTTATTATAATCATTACAACAAATGTGAGTTATTTGGGGACAATCTGAACTAGCTGGGAGTTATTTTGGTTAGAGTTTCTGACAGTTCCAGAGGTACCTAAGGCCAAGGACAGGGTTGGGTACAGACCTGGAGTGCACACCCCATTTTCAGTATATATATAATCTGACTCTAGAAGAAACATAATAATGTGGGAATTTAGTTATAGAGCTTTAAAAAATTTTTTTTAAATTAAATTGGTATGCTTTGGGGGCACCTGGTTAAACATCTGCTTTCAGCTCACTGAGCCCCAGGTCGGGCTCTCTGCTCAGCGGGGAGCCTGCTTCTCCCTCTGCCTGCCACTCCTCCTGCTTGTGCTCTCTCTCTCTGTCAAATAAATAAATAAGATCTTAAAAAATACATAAATAAACTGGTAGGCTTTCCTGTTGATTTTGTAAACCATTCTATCTTTCTCAGGAAATGAGAAAATAAACTATAGTAGACTGTAGGATTTTTTAGAGTGTCAGATGAGGGGACATGGTGACCCAGGAATGGATATCCTTATAGTTTGTATGAATTAAAAAAATTTTAGAGGCATGCCTCCCTGGTCCATGAAATACTAGTTATGTGTGTGTCAGAAGCAAGAAGCCTTGACATCAAGAAGTCAGGAAAACAGGATGAATGATAAATGATACACACTGAGCACTGATGTTTGAAGCAGGGCTGATTCAATTTGGGATACAAAAGAATATGTGCAGCATTACTATATATACTGAAAATGAAATGGCAAATGAACTCCAGTACTCTATCTGTGGAATTACAGCAGGAGCAAAGAGCAAAATGAAACTTCTTGCTTCAATTACTCTTTGTTCAGACCAAGTTTGCATATAGTTTTGGTGAAAAAAATGACACAGCTTATTAGCCTCTTCAAATATAAAAATCTATAAACCTCAGTTTGCTCTATGTTGTTCAATATCTAATATACAAAACTTAATATAACAAGTTCTAACTTTAATAGGACACCATTTACATTCATTTTTTTTTTACATTTTTGAAAAGAAAAAAATTACTGAAATTTTCTGAGGGGCAACTTTATTAAACTCAAAGTTTTACTACTTAAGTTTGGGAAAAAGACAATGTTTCCTTTTAAGCTGAAATTTAACATTAGTTCATACCTTGAAGCAGGAAGCTCTATAAAGGAGCTGGACAACATGCCCAATGCTAGTTTTAGAGGCCTGAGGAAACCGCGGCTCCAACCTTTGCACCACAAAGAGAACCAATACTTTTCTTGACAAAGCAGAACCATCTTCCAAGGCCAGGAGAACCAGCTTTAAAGCTTCCTCCTGCATTGCTAGGAAGTTAGGCAAAACCAAAATTTATCATGCACAAAGATAAGATAAATTTATTTATCAGAAGGGCAATGTTTAATAATTTCTGCAGGTACCACTGGGTGGGCAACACAACACAGTAACACATATTCACAGTTACACTTTCTAACCATTCTGGGGCAATTTTACATTACACTGCATATTTTATTTAAGAAAGCAGATAAAAAATTAATACATTCAAGAAAAACCTCTAACAAACTGCAAACTTTTAACACTGAGAAAAGTTTTACATGGTCTAAAATACTGACATGGAATTACCGAAGCCATGATTGTCAAGTGGGATATTTCTTGGTAACAACAGAATATTACAAAGAACTAGACTCTGTACATCACATTTATAGTTCTTAACACCATACTTTTAGAATTACTAGTATAGTAAATATCAAACTTCAATCACATACCTGGTCCAAGGAACTGGCAGCCCCTAGCCCTAACTGCTGCCCAAAGATTAGAGGAGAGTTGCTGAGGATTCTGGTGCTGAAGAATGAGCTCTGTAACTGTTCGTTCACCTAAAGATCGAGCTGCTCTCATAGCACGAATCCTGCCTTCTTCTTCCACTAGTTGGCAGTGGACCAGAGTCACCAGCTTCCTCTGCATTGGGCGACTCAGAACACTCTGAGTAGTGCTATTCAGACCCACTCCTTAAAAGAGAATAAAAGGTTATTTCTAGGTTTACAATGCAATTTTAGAGTCCAGAAAAACTTCCTCTGATGGGTTGACTGACTTACACATACATGAATAGTCCCCAGTTCTACTAGAATGTTTAAAATAAACAATGGATAAAATTATATAAAGCCTAGTTTGCATTTTAAAAATATACAAAAGCTGTTATCTCATGTAAATAAAACACTCATTACAACATTTAATATATCATTATTCATCATAACCATGGAGGAAAAAGGGGAAAAGGCCAGACAACATTAATAATTAGTTTAAGACTCAAATCTTGAGGTCCTAACAGTTCTGGCATATTATTTCATAATGGTTAATTTTACCTTCCTAATGAAATAATAAGCCATAATGGCAAGGCAGTTAAGGGCAACTTCCAATTTTATTTCACTCCCTATGGCACACCATATAAAACTGAATAGAAGGCAGACAATCCAGAGTTGTCAAATGATGGAGAGCCCTTCTGAAACCACTAGTATATTCACTTAATTTTGCAACTCATTCAAATGTTTCCAACAACACATAAACTCTAAATTCACTTATTTGATGTGGTTTGTAATGATATTATTTAGTGTTTGTGGGTTTGATTTACAATAAATAAGTGAATTTCATTAGCATTCACTTAGAGGCCATAATTTTTTTAAGGATTTATTTATGGGGTGCCTGGGTGGCTCAGTTGGTTAAGTGTCTGCTTTGGCTCAGGTCATGATCCCAATATCCTGGGATCCAGCCCCGTGTTGGGCTCCTTGCTCAGTGGGGAGCCTGCTTCTCCCTCTCCTCCCCGCTTGTGCTCTCTATCTCTGCTGCTCTCCTTCAAATAAATAAATAAAATCTTAAAAAAATAAATAAATAAGTACAATAAAATATTTATTTATTTTAGAGACGAGGGGGAGGAACCGAGGGAGAGAGAAACTCAAGTAAACTCTGAGCTGAGCACAGAGTCTGACACGGGGCTCAGTCCTGTGACCCTGAGATCATGACCTGAGCCGAAACCAAGAGTCAGACACTTAACTGACCGCGCCACCTAGGCCCCCCCACAGCCCACAATTTTTATGGTAATAAAAACATCTTTAATAAACATGTTTAGCATGGATAGTTGCATCCGATTTACCTCTAGCACTGCTGAGTGGTTTCAGGTACAATGCTAATTCTTCTACACATTTCTTGGCTTCCTCATAATGCTTTGTATCTTCAACCCCACTACACAAAGTAATGGGCTGCTGCTCAGGGACCTTGAGGTCAAAAGAAAAGGTCTGTATGAATACTCATTAATTAAATGTTTGATTGAGTATATTTTATGCACTGCTACTCTAACCGTGGTAACATCAAAGCTCCCACTAAATTTTTTGAATTCTTCCAAAGGCCTTTTCTATACTAACACATAAAATTTAATGCATTGTTTTGGTTTTGTAATAGCTTTACTGAAATATAGTTTGTATACCATGTAAGTGACCCATTTTAAGATATACAATTCAATGGTTTTTAGTATATTCATAGTTGTGTAACCATAACCACAATTTTAGAACATTTTCATCATCCCTCCAAAGAAGGCCATACTTTTAAGTCTCCCCACCCATATTTCCTTCCAACTCTCCACCAACCAAAGGAAAACACTGATCTATTTTCTGTCTCTATGGAGTTGCCTATTTTGGACATTTCACATTAACAGAATCATAGATTCATATAGTAACTTCCAAAGTGGCTACACTATCTTTTATTTTCACCAGCCATAAATGAGTTCTGTTGTTCCACATCCTCACCAGCATTTGGTATTTTAAGTGTTTTGGATTTTAGCTATTCTAATTGGTGTGTAGCAGAATCTTGTTGTTTTAATTTACAATTCCTTAATGACAAAGGACGTTGAGCAACATTTCATTTGCTCATTTTCCATTTGTGTATCTTCTTTGGTGAGGTGTCTATTCAGATCTTTTCCCATTTTAAAATTATGTCCTTTTTATTACTGAGTTGTCAGAGTCTTTATTATATCCTAGACACAACTTCCTTTCAGATATATGAGTTACAATTATTTTCTCCCATTCTGTGAGTTGTTCTTTCACTCCCTGATGGTGTCCTTTGAAGCACAAAGTTTCAAGTCTTGATTTAGTTCAATTTATCTTTTATTCCTTGTGCTTTTCATGTCATATCTAAAAAAAACCACTGCCTACTCCAAGATCATGAAGATTTATGCCTGTGTTTTTTTTTTTTAAAGCTTTTATTTATTTATTTGACAGAGAGAGAGTTAGCGAGAGCCAGAACACAAGCAGGGGGAGTGGGAAAGGGAGAAGCAGGCTCCCTGATGCAGGGCTCGATCTCAGGATCCTGGGATCATGACCTGAGCCGAAGGCAGACACTTAATGGCTGAGCCACCCAGGTGCCCCTCTGCCTGTATTTTAAGAGTTCTGTAGTTTTAGCTTTTACATTTAGCCTTTGGTTCACTTTGAGTTAGTTTTTGAACATGGTGTGAGGTAGGGTCCAAATTCATTCTTTTGCATTTGGATATCCAGTTTTCCCAGCACCATTTGTTGGAAAAACTGTCCTTTCCTCAATGAATGGTCTTGGCAACATTGTCAAAAATCATTTCATATGTGTGGATTTATTTCTGGGCTCTGTTCTATTCCACTGATCTAAATGTCTGTCTTTATACCAGTACCACACTGTCTTGATTACCGTAGCTCTGCAGCTTCAAAATCTGGAGTGTGATTCCTCCAACTTTGCCCTTTTTCAAGATTGTTTTGGCTATTTGTGGTCCATTCTGATACCATTATATGAATTTTAGGATGGGTTTTGTTGTTGTTGTTGTTGTTGCTGTTTCTGCAAAAAGAACCACCACCATTGGGAGTTTGACAGAGCTTGCACTGAATTTGTAGATTGCTTTGGGTAGTACTATGATCTTAACAATATTAAGTCTGTCAATCCATTAACACACAATGTCTTTCTATTTATTTATGTCTTCTTTAAATGTCTTTCAGCAATGTTTTGTAGTTTTCAGTGCACAGGTCTTTCGCCTCCTTTGCTGAACTTATTCCTAAGTATTTTATTATCTGATGCTATTGTAAGTGGATTTGTTTTCTCAATTTCCTTTTGGATTGTTCATTGCTAGTATATAAAAACACAACTAATGTGTTGATTTTGTATCCTGCAACTTTGCTTAATTCATTTATGAACTCTAACAGCTTTTTAATGGAAATCTCTAGAGTTAAAATAGTGGCTACTGTATATTAATATGCCCTATCCTTGTTCCTCAGAATGTTAAAAATAGAACTACTCTACGATCCAGCAATTGCACTACTAGGTATTTACCCACAGGATACAAAAATACAGATTCTAAGGGATACATACACCCTGATGTTTTATAGCAGCATTATCAACAATAGATAAACTATGGATAGAGCCCAAATGTCCATCGACTGATGAATGGATAAAGATGTGGTATATATACACTGGAATATTACTCAGCCATCAAAAAGAATGGGCTCTTGCCATCTGCAATGACATGGATGGAGCCAGAATATATTATGCTAAGTGAAGTAAGTCAGTCAGAGAAAAACAAATACCATATGATCTCACTCATATGTGGAAATTAAGAAAGAAAAAAGATGAACACATGGGAAGGGGGAAAAGAAAAAAGGAAAGAGGGAAACAAACCATAAGAGACCCTTAACAATAGAGAACAAACTGAGGGCAGATGGAGGGAGGTGGGTGGGGGATGGGCTAGATAGGTGATGGATATTAAGCAGGACACTTGTTATGAGCAGTTGGTGTTGTAAACAAGTGATGAATCACTGAATTCTACTCCAGAAAACAGTATTGCACTGTATGTTAACTACCTAAAATTTGAAAAAATAATAAAATAAAATACCCTATCCTCAAATATAAACATTAGTTGTTTCACTTAAGATATAACAAGGTCTTACTCATTTTGTAGAAAGAGTTCATCTTTAGACAATTTTATGAAAAAAAGCAAGCCTTGGTTATTTGCTATTATAATAGTATATTTCTAAAATTATTATCCTTAATAAGTCTATTTTTTAAATGTTTCCAAACTATCATAGTGGGATTTTCAAAATAAAGAGAAATGATTGTGAAATGAAAAATTAAGTACAAGAAGCAAAAGGATCTATTGCACTTTCCCTTTTGACAAATATTTTGTACTGTTGTTGGTGACATCACAAAACAGGTTTAACAAAAGTTTTCCTTTTGAATAAGCTATTCTAGAACTGCTCTCTTCATCTCCAACATACATAATATCAACCTTTCCTACATTTTAGCAGCTTATATCAAGATTGATCTACAGAACATTAATGGGGCCAGATCCAAAGTTCTAGTATATTTATTCAGAAAATGACTTATGGTAAATATATGGCATTTCAGACTCACACTATGCAAATTTAGTAAAGGATTACTTAACTAGGGGCACCTGGGTGGCTCAGTCATTAAGCGTCTGCCTTCGGCTCAGGTCACGATCCCAGGGTCCTGGGATCGAGCCCCACATCGGGCACCCTGCTCTGCAGGAAGCCTGCTTCTCCCTCTCCCACTCCCCCTGCTTCTGTTCCCTCTCTATGTCTCTCTGTGTCAAATAAATAAAAATCTTAAAAAAAAAAAAGGATTATTTAGGTAAATCATATCTAGCTTTCAAAAACCCGCCTGCCTTGCCTTTGTGAAATCTTCTGAAGATACTACTAATCTCTAAATTTGAGAATACGGACATTAAATTTTAGAGTATTACCATCAGACTTGCTAGACTTTTATATTTAGATACCTAGGGATATTTGTGCCTACTCTAGAAAAATGGTTCCCAATATGCTCTATAGTTCTTGTCACCATCTTCATCTTTCATTTCAGTTAGTGTCTACTAAGGAAAACTGTCTGAAGTAGCTTCACTTTTCCTATTAAGTAAAATGCAATGGTTATATGAGTAATATTTTCCTCAGTATTAAGAAGGTCCTTGTGACTCATCCTCTTAGGTTTCTCTAGTGATCTGAACAGCTAAGATTGTTGAGAAAGGCCGACCATCAGATTAAATGGCTGTTCCTGCGCTCTGACCGAGGAACACTCCACTACCACAATATATCTCCCAACACACTGCAATGAAGGATTTGCACAGTACTGAATAGAATTTTATCTATTTAGATAGAAGGCAATGTTGCCCAATTTTAATTCAACAAGTTTCCCTTAGGAGGAAAACACATACACTCAGAAATTAAAAAGAATAGTAAGTCACCCATCTTACCTGAGCACCCACTAGCTGCAGCAATGCTGAGTTCACGGGAAGGAGCTCAATGTCTGTATTGATAGTGGTCTGGTCAAAGGGGCAAGCCTTGCGGTGGAGTTTATTCAGGCACATCTTGCAGACAGTATGGCCACAACCCAAACTGATGGGCTTTCGAATTGTTTCATCGAAAGTCTGAGTGCAAATTGGGCAGGAGAGGAAATCCGTCCATTGTGGAGCTTGTACAGGCATTGTTACTGGAGTTACAATCCACTGACACACACACACACACAATAATCTAAAGCAAAGATTCCACTGGAATCAAAATCTTTGAAAAAAGTTTTTTTTTTTTTTTAAATATCTTCTGTAGATACAGTCAGCACATAGTGTGAAATATAACCTGGAAAACAAAAAAAAAGAGAGAGAGAAATCAGTGTCTTCCTTTTCAATTAAACTGTGCATTCATACTCTATGACCTACAACCTTTGATGCCATATTTCTATCATTATAGCACATTGTTTTACACTTTTATAGAATTAGAGCCATAACAAAACATCTAGTTTTATCCTCTCACTGTAGAGATGGGGAATGGACCCCAAAAAGAAAATTACTTGCTCAAGGTAACAAATGAAGTTAGTAATAAAGTTAGATCCAGTATCTAAGTCTCTGAAGTTTATTGAAGTCTATGATTATATTGAAGAATTAGCCTTTTTAGGTGGTTAATAATATTATTTCTTGATTTGAACACCAGTTAAATCAATCTGTTCAGCCGTGAAAATTTATCAAGCTCTACACTGATGAAATGTACATTTCTGTGCATGTTATACCTCAATAAAGAGTTTTTAAAAATTGGCCTAAGGTAAAAACTACCTTAAATATTTTATCATCAAATTGGGTATAGGTGGGGCTCCTGGGTGGCTGAGTAGGTTGGGCATCTGCCTTCGGTTCAGGTCATGATCTTAGAGTACTGGGATAGAGCCCCGAGTCGGGCTCCCTGCTTGGTGGGGAGCCTGCTTCTCCCTTTCCTCCCTGCTCTTGCTCTTCTAGCTATCTGTCTCTCAAATAAACATTAAAAAAAAAAAAATGGGTACAGGTAATGAGATAACAAAGAGTCTGTGGCTTTTTTAAAGTTTGTTTTTAAGGGTCTTAGATATTGTTAAGAATTTTATTTACAGGTAGTTAGTTATCTTTAAGCCCCTGGTATGGCCTATATTTATTGCTATTGTGTGTTGTTTTAGAACAACTGCATAGTTAAAATTATTTACTTCAAAAGATTTTTTAAATTCTCAAATTTAGGAATGATAGAACAATTATAATTCAAACTAAAATCAAATTTCATTGTCTACCCTCTGTTTTTGGCAGAGGATAATAACCAAATCGCAAAACTCATCACCTGTGTCTAATAGAAATTCTTTTTATATATAAAATTCAACCTAAAACTTCCAGCACATATCTTAAACAACACCTACTACACTTACTTTAACTGTAGTTTCTAAAAATGAGAATTGATGCACAGAACAATAAAGTAACAGTATTACAAGGTTCTTCAAGATTTGATTATGCTCGAGAGACTGCTTAAAAAGATGAAAAAAATTATTTAAGCTGTAATTAACTATGAAAGTAAATCATCTATATATCTTATTCTTTGAGCATTATATTTAATTTTTGTTCTACTGAAATAACTCAACCTTAATTGCAATCCCATTATTGATGAGAGAACAGTTTCCATTAGATATGCTAACAATGTATCCATTCATTCAACAAATATTTACTAAGTACTACTATGTGCCAGACTGAATTGGGGAAACAGTGAAACAGCATAGTCATAATATCTGCCTTCTGAGTAATCTTAGTTTTGTTTAGGTTTTTGCAAAGTGTGCTATAAGATAAACGGATTTTACCAAGTTAATTTTATGTTCAGGATGTAAAATTAAAGTTATCTGCATGTGTGTTAAAACAGCCCCTGCAAAGACATGAACAGACATTTTTCCAAAGAAGACATCCAAATGGCCAACAGACACATGAAAAAGTGCTCAACATCGCTCGGCATCAGGGAAATCCAAATCAAAACCTCAATGAGATACCACCTCACACCAGTCAGAATAGCTAGAATTAACAAGTCAGGAAACGACAGATGTTGGCGGGGATGTGGAGAAAGGGGAACCCTCCTACACTGTTGGTGGGAATGCAAGCTGGTGCAACTACTCTGGAAAACAGTATGGAGGTTCCTCAAACAGTTGAAAATAGAGCTACCATACGATCCAGCAAATTGCACTACTGGGTATTTACCCCAAAGATTAAATGTAGGGATCCGAAGGGGTACATGCACCCCAATGTTTACAGCAGCAATGTCCACAAAAGCCAAACTGTGGAAAGAGCCCAGATGTTCATTGACAGATGAATGGATAAAGAAGAGGTGGTATATATACACAATGGAATATTATGCGGCCATCAAAAGGAATGAGATCTTGCCATCTGCAACGACATGGATGGAACTGGAGGGTGTTATGTTGAGTGAAATAAGTCAATCAGAGAAAGACATGTATCATATGACCTCGCTGATATGAGGAATTTTTAACCTCGGGAAACAAAATGAGGGTTGCTGGAGTGGTGGGGGGAGGGAGGGACGGGGTGGCTGGGTGACAGACATTGGGGAGGGTATGTGCTATATGGTGAGCGCTGTGAATTGTGCAAGACTGTTGAATCACAGATCAGTACTTCTGAAACAAATAATGCAATATATGTTAAGAAAAAAAAAAGAAGACAGCAGGAGGGGAAGAATGAAGGGGAGTAAGTCGGAGGGGGAGACGAACCATGACAGACGATGGACTCTGAAAAACAAACTGAGGGTTCTAGAGGGGAGGGGGTGGGGGGATGGGTTAGCCTGGTGACGGGTATTAAAGAGGGCACGTTCTGCGTGGAGCACTGGGTGTTATACGCAAACAATGAATCATGGAACACTACATCAAAAACTAATGATATAATGTATGGTGATTAACATAACATAATAAAAAATAAGTAGGGGCACCTGGGTGGCTCAGTTGGCTAAGTGAGTGCCTTCGGCTCAGGTCATGATCCTGGAGTCCCGGGATCAAGTCCCGCATCAGGCTCCCTGCTCAGCAGGGAGTCTGCTTCTCCCTCTGATCCTCCCCCCTCTCATGCTCTCTCTCAAATAAATAAATAAAATCTTAAATAAATAAATAAATAATTCTCAAGGGGAAACCATATGGAACCCCAAAGGTGTGGAAAAATCCCAGAATCGTTCACATGCATGCACATTATCATACCAGTCACACTTTATCCTAGAGAGATTTTTTCCTAGGATATATGTTTTTTTAAAAAAACATTTTGGGGGTGCCTGGCTGTCTCAGTTAGAAGAGCATGTGACTCTTGATCTCATGGTTGTAAGTTCAAGCCCAACGTTGGGTGTAGAGATTACTTAAATAAATAAAACTTAAAAAAAAAAAGAAAGGCTAAAAATCTTTGTAACCGAGAAAAATTGAAAACACTGTGTCCAAATAGGGGAACAGCTAGATAAACAGGGGGTACACCTGTACTATGGAAACAGATGGAATAATTAAAAAGAAATTTATGCATCAGAAATAGAAAGGGATACAAGACATATTAAGCAAAAACAAAACTTGCAGATTTATATATGGTATCATTTGTGTTTGGGGAAAAAATCCTATGTATTAGTCTTGGTATTAAGGGATGTAAATGGATGTAAGACAAAGGTCTGTAAAGATATCTAACAAACTTAACAGCAGTTAACACAATGGGGCAACTTATAAAATGTATATAATCATGAATTATATAACTGCAAATACATTTGAAAGAATGAAAACAAGAGAAACCAGAGTATATTTGCACAATTCAGGCTATTTCTAAGATAAATTACCATAGGACTAAAACATTTTTCCTTATTAAATTGACCCCTGTACACATTTGGATATCCAAATCATCAAAACTTATGAATTCTTTTCAAAATTCACTAAGAGTTCTTTTTATAACTTCCCTATAATTTACCTAGTTCAAAGAACTAGCACAGTTTATTAATTTTATATATCATTTTGTATCACTTTACCTAGTAAAATGAGGTATATAGTTGCTAATCTCTTACATTTCCTAGTAAAATAGTTCTTAGAGACAACTATAACAAACTTGATAGAGTAAACATACAGAATCAGCACCAGGTTCTTCACTAAAAATAAAAGCATTCTTTTGATCAGAGAGACAGGTATGAAGAGATGAAGGGGAAAACAGTATTTTAAAAGCTTGACTTTGCTTGGGAAATTTCATGATTATGAATATAACTCACTCTTTGATGATTCTATTTCAGGAACTACAAAATCAAAAGCAAAGATTTTTTTTAGAGCATCAAAATGTCATCGGTAGTTATTAGATCTAAGAACAATTTCCACTTCCTCATTCTTTAAACATCTTTCTCCAGGGGCCCCTGGGTGGCTCAGTCCATTAAGCGTCTGCCTTCAGCTCAGGTCATGATCCCAGGGTCCTGGGATCAAGTCCTGCATCGGGCTCCCTGCTCCTTGGGAGCCTGCTTCTCCCTCTGCCTCTCTCTCTCTCTCTCTGTCTCTCATGAATAAATAAATAAAATCTTTAAAAAAAAAAAAAAAGGCAGACATTTACATCATCTTCAACCACAAAAGGTATCTAAACCACACAGGACACAGAACATATGGCTTAGTGACTATAATAAATATTCTTTCAGGCAAGAGTAAACATATGAAAATTACTAAAACACCAAATATCAACATCCAAATGCTTTAAGCTTCTTCAGAGCAAGGTTCTGTCAAGAAAAAAAAAAAATCCTAAATAATTCTACTAATCAAAGCACATGTGCTCAAGGCCTCCAGTTACATCATTATAGGTTAGGGGTCTGCCCAAATCTAGCTGAATAGGAATAATTCTACTGGAACCTTTCTAATCAGAAAAGCATGAATGATGGTCCTCTTTATTTCTAACAAAACCCAAACGAGGGGCTGCTGATGAGAGCAATGGTTAACTTTCCTATCAGTTAAAACAAGGCCTACTCCCCTACATAAATGGCAATTATTGATTTTACTGATACTAAGTGATAATAGAGAACACACATAACAGTTAAGTAGCAATCAGTTCACCCTGAAGAAGGCCTAAATTTTAAAATATCATATAACTTCCCCAATAATACGCATATTTTTATACCAGGAATAGCGCTCATAGCTACTATAGACAAAAAATTATGACACGATACATAAAAGACCTTGGTTTTCTGAAAATAAAGCATGGATAGGCATTATGTTAGTTGTTTTCAGATGCTTTTCTTTTTAAATGTGTACCATAAATGTAAACGACAAAGTGAGCTCCTGCCAGTCAGCAGTACTTGTTAAGTACCAGTGCTCT